ATACCCAGCGTCCGGCCCCTTACAGTCCTGCGAGCCCGCTACGTGTCGTACAGTTCGGCGCGTCTGCGTGCCGAGATTGGCGGCGGCGGCGGCGGCGGCGGCTTGATTTTACGCGATCATGTCCACACGGCACAACCCGTCGCGTCATTCGCACGTGGGAGCAAGGACCCTTGAGGGATCGCAACCGTTTGGGGCCGCTGGAGATTGGGCCAAAGCAGAAAAGATGACGATGTTGGTTGGCGGAGTAGTGAAAAATGGCGTCAATTTTGGCGGACGCTGAATAGATCATGGATGGTGTTCTTCGCACTCCATTCCGTTAGGGTCAGCATGCTACACTGCGTTTCTCGCATGATATCAGGAGCACGACGATTCATGATCGATGGATAATGGGACTTGGTAGATCAAAAAAATATGATAGATCCGATTCATCAAAGATTCATTTACAAGACTACCTGCATAGCCCGACACATTCCACATAGATTGGAAGCGAAGTCATAAGTGTATGGCATCCAGTGCTTGCTAAGACAAGCGGCTTGAACTTCGAATTTGGTACAAGTAACCCCTAGTAAAGGGATTAACTCATGTGTTCTGAACATGCTCAAACAAGTAAGGATCTCGCAATCCATCTTTTCGGTGATTGCACGAGCAATGACTACAGCCAGCAGGAGAGAGACTCCCTGTGATTCTGAGAGCAGCATTGTCATGAGATACTTGATCAAATGGAAACATGTTCCGTCAGATTTCTGCGCAGTATGGCCAGCGGATATAAAGCTAGCATGTAGTCATAGAGCCAGGCATAGAACAGGTACCTCTCCGTCCGCCTACTTGAGCTACACCAGTCTCAAACATTTTCTAGACGAAGCAGACTTTGGGCCTAGTATCACTCGACGGCTATTTTGTCTTCTCCACCCTGGGCATGCTTCCTCAGCTCGAAGCGTGTGAAATGTTTAATGCCTCGTTCGCTGTATTTTCCAAGCATCCAGCGATACGCCTTCTTCTCTAATGCATGTCAAATGGCTATCAAAACAAAGGCAGAGAGAGAGAGAGAGAGAACTTGAATCGCCGTGATAGGCGCAATCATTTCCTGTGTGAACCCCAGAAGACCAAGCTTTGGTATCCTTGGATGGAGGTCGAGATAGCACCCTAGGCTTCAATATCGCGCGTTATGCATAAAGTAGGTGGTCAAGGGTGTCGCGGGGAGGGTGGAGAGATGTTTGGAAGCACGAGCATGGTTCGGATCCCGGTTTGACGACGTGGGCGTCATGCGCGAGACCTTCAACACAAATGCGACATGCGCAGTGTTGATGTGAGTCACAATCGAAGCGGAAAAGGCAAGCCAGTAGGTGCGAAGCTGCAAGCACACACGAGTCAAGAGTTGGAAATAGGGGTATCAATTATTTTGTCGTTACCTCTCCCCCTACCAAATGTGTATCCCATGTATCGTACGGAACGCCTCGCCGCCCAGAAAGAAAAATGAGGGAGTGAAGGGGGTTTTGAGAGCCGACCCTTTCTACTCCGAAAACATGCTCAGCCGTTATATATACACATTTCCGTCTATGCAAAATGAACGCCCTTCTTTTTAAATCATGAGGCTCGTTACCACAGCCGTGCCCGCCCCGACTGGAGCAAAAGTTGATGAGAGGAGAGGTGGACTAGATGACGTTCCCGGCCATGCCCATGAAGAGGGCATGGACAGCAAGACTCAACGTCCAGAAGCCAACCTTCTTGAGTCGGCGTACGCGGCTTTGCTGGTTTTCCACATCGCGGGCAAAGGCCTCGTACGTCTCGGCTGACATGTCATCCATCAGACCGCAGTCGAAGATGGTCCAGCTGCCGTCGAAGTCACTAGCGCGTTTGACTATGCGGCAAGTGATGGGGATGTATGTCTTTTTGGCGTTGATGTAGGCCACAATGGGGCGAACAAGCGCCTGGTTGATGTATGAGATGTCCTTCGTGAAAAGGGGCACGGCGGCCTTGACATCATTCATGTGGATGCGAAGATCCATGATCAGATACCGCCTATCCCCGTCCGTTTGCTCGGGCTCCTCGTCATCGTGTGACTCGGGAGATTCTGGAGTGCTGTACCCGACAACCTCTGGTGCAGCCTGAGAAAGATGACCCGATGTTGGAGTTGGGCCCAAAAGCGCGGCGGCGTCGATAAGAAGGTCCTTTTGAAGAAGGCGCATGCGGTTCGAGATGACCACATCCTCGAGTTGGTCGTAAAAGTCTGACATAACCTTGGTAATGCTATCGTCCAGGTCGGCAGGGAACATGACATCCGCTACAATGTCAACATTTCCCTCATAAATCCAGCCGAAAGGACCTTCAACGCCTCGGTTGAGGTGGTCAATCTTGAGGCCGTCGATGCGAAGGCGGCTAAACTTCTTCCAGGCCGACGGCTCGCCAACATCGTTGGCAGCGTCTCCGTTCTCACCAGCTACGGTGCCATGAACCTGGCGAGGGTGAATGGTGAATAGAGAGCCATCAAATGACCCAGACATGTGTGTTGCAGAGAGGAAGTCGTAGAATAGCCACTGTTTCCTGAGCTGCGGTAGCTCGCAGGAGAAGATGCTGACCGAGAATGGCCGGAAGCCGTTGGGCTGGTGAACCGTTACCAGAAGATCCTCGAGTTTGAAGGAATCGATCTCAAAGTCGCCAGGTTCGTGGGTGTGACGGTAAGAAAGAGGATCGACAACCTCATCCGACCACACAACTGAGGTACGGTCCACTACGCCTCGGACTCCCTTGACCTCGACATCTTTCAGGAAACCCTTTCCGTTCCACCATTTCAGGAACGACAGGGTGACGTTCACGGTAGCAATAGTGACATCGTACTGCGTGTAGTTGCCGTCGTCCTCTTCCAACACTCTAACATCATTCTCGTCGTGCTTTTCGGCGGCTGCCACAGCCGCGGCATTCTTCGAGGAACCCTTGCTAACTGAGGATGTGACCTGTCCGGGCCGTCGTGATACGAAAACGTTTCTAAAGGTGATAACGCCGTCTCCCCACTTGGGGACGATGGCCGACTCGAAGACCACCGTGACGCCAGCAGACTCGGTCAGAGAATCACCAACCCATTTCGCGAGAGTTTCTAGAACAGAGCATCAGTGACTGGGGTGCCTATAAGCAGTGCAGTGAACGTACCCTGTGCAAAAACCGTGTTGATACTGAAGATGATGAGAGAGAAGAAGGTCGTGGTACCGACGAGAATCCAGACAAGGTGACCGAACAGGAACCACGATACGAAAGCACCCCATTCATCAATATTCCACGGCCTCATACTTCTAATGCCCGCCCACTTGAAGCGCACCTTCATGCGACCCAAGAAGCCATTGGCAGCGGCGAGAAGCTCTTCCCGAGTGGGCCGGTGCGGCATCTTCGGTATGTGCAAATATTTCGACATGGTGGAGGCAATCGACTCCGCGTCGTGGTCTGATGTGTCGGCCTTATCCTGGTCTGTAGCCTTAGCATTTTGCTGCTTCGGCTGGGCCGCCGTGCCCTTTTCCTCGGGCTTCCCGCTTTCGGAGCTGCGATGCCTCCTCTCATTCTGTGCTGCGCTCCTGGAGTCGTTGTGTATGCCTCGTCGCCATGCTAGTCGGCCCGGCTGGTAGAGCTTCGACTTGCTCGTCAGCCCCGCACTCGCAGACTCGGCAGTAGCGGCGGCGCATGTAACTACCGCAGCCTGCGAGGGCGAAACGTTGGTGGTGAAACCGACCAACAGCAGTCCGCTCCCAGTATAGCTTCGTTGCGCATTGTAGACGTTCGGTCGTGGAAACGAGTGTCGCCCAGAGTGGATGGTTCTTCGGAAAGATGCCGCCTTATAAGTCGGATTGGCAGCCGGCTGAGTAGCCCTCAAGCAGCCGTTCCTTGTTGCAGCAGTTAAGATAGTCGTCCCTTGCAGACCCAGAGTCTGCGACGCCGATGCGCTGGCGCAGGACCAGAAGCGACGCCCAAGAAGAGTCGTCGCAGTGTTAGACATGTCTCCAGCTCATCCTGTCTCTTGGTTGAACAGAGAGACAGCAGATGAGGAAGAAGAGTCGGTCGATTATCTACCTCGAAGGGTATGTGCGGGGGGGACGGGGCGGCTTGCAACAATTGGATTGTAAACAAGATGCAAGAGAGAGAGAGAGAGGCACGGCAAATGTTAGTACATTTCATGCGCTTATGCAGATGTGACTGAGATGTAAACCTGCGCCAGGGAAGGCGCCTGTGAAAAGTCATCCATGACGCGCTACCACAGCTTTCGCTCGCTGAACCCAGCTGGACCCATTCCAAAGATACCTGACGTATGGGGCGTCACCTCACACCAGCACCCCTCCTGCTGCTGGAGGCTGGAGCCAGGGCAAAGAGAAAAATTTAGTCAAAAAGGCAGCATGGTCTGTGCTTCCGTAACCTGGGCCCCCTGCTTCCACTCATGTAAGCAATGGTTAGGGTGCTGGTGAGGCTTGTCTGGCTGTTCTTTCTAAACCCTCAACGTTATTCCTTGAAGCCCCGAAGCCTCTTAAGAATTCTTCTGTAGGTAGTCCAAAATACTCCAGCCAGCCTCTCTCAATTAACGTGCGCTGTGACTCAGGAGAGCAGGATGGATATTGCTGCCAAAAAAAAATGCCATGCTGAGCAAGGATGGTGGTGACACACAGTTCACTACGGATACCGGTCTCCACTCTGCTCTGGTCCCCTCTTTCGTTTCTCAAGTCCGTGCCTTGACCCCCCTCACCCAAAAGCCTCTGTCTCTGCTTATCCGCTTATCGATAAGAAAAAACACAAAAATTTGGGATTGCAGTTTAATCGAATCGGTCTACAGTTGATGCCCGCCGCTTTTTTTCTTCACAATCGCCTGCCCCCGCCGCCGCCGCCAGACCGACTCGCCCCGACACACAAACCGGAGTCCCTGACCGAAAAAAACGGTACCCATTTTCGAGTCCTTGTGAATTTCCAGCGATCGATCCCAAGACCTGAGGAATCTTCGACCACCAACTTCCCCTTCCGAACCGCCCATCATGCCCGCCCCTACCGCCAAGCAGGTGGAAATCGCCGCCCCGCCGCCTGAGGCTGCTTTCCAGGAGGAGCAGCAGGACGAGGAGCTTCTGCTCGATGCGCCGACTGCGCTGCCCGAAGACCTGGATGCGATCATGCCTAGCGTGCCCCAGAACGGAGAGGAGAGCGAGATGGTCGTCGACGAGGAGAACCGCCCGCGCTTTGCGCCCGCCAGAGACATTGTGCGCCTACCCACATACTCGTAGAAGACTTGTTGATATCAGGCACTAAACGTTGCTCCAGGACCCCGTCACCAGAATAGAGACCCGTAAGGTCCCGGTGCCTCCTCACCGCTTCACCCCCCTCAAGTCCGCCTGGCCCAAGAGTACGTTTCCGCACAATGTCTTTCAGGATCACCTTTGTCTGACCAGTGCGCGCCCACAGTCTACCCCCCTCTTGTCGAGCACCTCAAGCTTCAGGTCCGCATGAACCCGCGGAGGAAACAGGTCGAGCTCCGCACATCCAAGCACTCCACCGAGGACGGCGCCCTGCAGAAGGGCGAGGACTTTGTCAAGGCCTTTACCCTGGGCTTCGACGTTGACGATGCTATTGCGCTGTTGCGTCTGGACGATCTTTACAGTAAGCAATACTCTTGCGGAAAGGAGACAATGTAGAACAGTTGCTGACACTACTATAGTCGAGACTTTCGAGATCCGAGACGTCAAGCAGGTCATGGGCAATGAGGCGCAGGGCCGTGCTATCGGTCGCATAGCAGGCAAGGACGGCAAGACGAAATGTATGTCGCTAGCATATCGCAAACCCGTCCTCCAAGAAACTGTCACTAACAGCCGACGCAGTCGCCATCGAGAACGCCAGCAAGACCCGTATCGTCCTGGCCGACAGCAAGATCCACATCCTCGGCGCCTACAAGAACATCCACATGGCCCGTGAGTCCATCGTGAGCTTGATTCTCGGAAAGCCTCCTTCCAAGGTCTACGGCAACCTGAGAACAGTCGCCGCGCGCATGAAGGAGAGATTTTAAGAGAGGGAATACCAGCAAACAAAAAAGCTGGAATTGGACAAAAGAAAAGTGAAGGAAAAGTTTTAAAAGGACAATCTTGGGTGGTTTAATGATGGCATGAAACGACATCCTGTCATGGACTCCGGCGTTGTGGGCATTTTAGAGATTCCAAATCATTACATGGGCAGGGGGAAAATATGATGAAGCATTTGAACCAACATTGTCATGCTACGGGTGAGATCTCATGAATAATAATGACCGACATGAAATCAACGGAAAAGCGTGAGTCATTTCACTCAATAATCCCCATGCCGCCGCCTCACAATCCAAATACGACTGGTACACATACTAGGTAGGTCTCTCTGGCACTGACATGGCCAGAGGCTACAAAGGTCACCAAAATTCCATCTTGATTGCGGAACGAACCATGTCCATAATGCGTTACTCCATAGACGTCTATACGTGCCTACCCGCCGAAAAGACTTTTTTACATAATGGCCGCTCACCCGGCGACCAACCTGCAAGCCAAGCCCTTTATCCAGGCAACTCGTCTCGATCAGGGGGATGAAAAACTTTTCCCCTTCCCAGGTCACTCTTACTGACTGCCTCAACTTTGTCTTCTCCCGTTTCACAACCGCCATTTCGTTAGGTTAGATGGGAGCATTCAGATTCCCGTAGCTCGCTCGCTCTCTCTCTCTCCCTCTCTCCCTCGTAATTTTGTGTAATCTCTTTGACAGATTTACTCCTCGTCACCCTCACCCTCCTCCTGAGGGGCCTCCTCCTGCTCGTCGTCCTCGTCGAGGCTGCCGGCGGGCACCTCGTAAAGACGGAGGATGGACTTGTTGGGGTCCTTGACGAGCACGTACTTACCGTCCTGCTCGCGCTTAAGACACATGTCGGCAATGGTGCGGACAATACCCCAACCGTTGGAGAGAGACAGGTTCATCTGGTTGGCAAAGTCGCGGGGCTTCCAGCCGACGACGCCGAGGATGACGTGCTTGTCATTGGACTTGGGGTTGGCGCGAGACACGAAACTTTGGTGTTGTTAGTTTTACATCTTTGACAAAAGGGGGCAAATCGGTAATAAGAAGACATACCCAAGCTTCATGACATCGGCACGGGCAAGGATGGACTGGACAGTCCACCTGGCGAGCTTGCAGGAGTTGTTCTTCATCTCAGTCGCCACGACGGCACCACGCTGGCTGACAAGCTTGGTCCTCCAGTCAAGAGCACCACCGCTGCCCTGAGCCTTGCTGTCGAACTCGTTGAGCGCGTGCAGGGTGACGAGCTGGTCGTCGCCGCTGATGGCGTTCTTCTGAACGGCGTCGACCTCGGTACGGACGACAAGGTAGACGTTCTCCTCCTCGTCGTTAGTGGACAGGTCGAACTTGCGGTACTTGTAGGCCTTGCTGGCGGGGGGATCGGTGTCCTCGGAAGAGTTGTAGAAGGGGTTGGCGTGGGGGAACTGCAGCTTCTGCGTCTCGTTCTCGATGACGACCTGGTTGGCGAAGTTGTGGTTGATGTAGGTAGCCTCCTCAGCCAGGGCACCGGGCTGGTTGAGCGCATCCTTGCTGCCGTCGGCGGCGTCAAGAGGAGCGTCGGCGGCGTTCTCGTTGACGGTAACCATGTCGAGAGCAGCGTTGTCGCGCTTGTCGATGAAGACCTTGTTGCCCTGGACGGAGATGACGATGTCCCAGGGGTAGACGGAGCGGGGAGAGCACATGAGCATGGACAGAATGCTGTCGGTAGCGAAGATGGTAGCCTCGCCCTTGTCGGCAAGGTCCTGGATCACAGGATCGGAAGAAGTGGTAACGTTGTAAGCGGCACGGTCAATAGCGTTAAGCCTGCGCTCAGTGCCCTTAACAGGGGGCTTGTCGTAGGAGCGGTCGTAACCGTAGACGAAGCCGTAGGCGTCAATCTCCTCGCCCTCGTCGGCATCCAGGTTGAGCTTGGCGAGACGGTTGAAGTCGATCTCCTCCAGCAGCTTCCAGTCGGCCTTGATGTTGATACTGGCGTCACGGTTGCGGGCAGGCTTGTCGTAGTCCTTCCAGCCGAAACGGCGACCGCGCTGGCCACCGCCGGATCTGCCGCCACGGTCGAAGCCGCCGCCGCCGTAGCCCTGACGACCGCCCTGCTGGGTGCGGTTGATGGCCTGGCGGCCACCACGGGTGGTGGTGGCAGCTCCTCCGCGCTGACCACGGCCGCCGCGGGTGAAGACGGCGCCGCGGCCGTATCTTGTCTTGGTGCTGTCGCGGGTGTTGCTGACAACGGAGAATGTGGACTCGTCCTCGGCGGGAGGGGCGTTGAAGGAGATGGCGTGGCCAGCACCGTAGACTTGCTGGTCTGTAGGTGAATGTTAGCGACGATATTTTTGACATTCGTTCTCGGAGAGTGCACCTACCACGGTAGTTACGGTTGTACTGCTGTCTTCCTCCACGGCCATCTCTGTCCTTGCCCTCGGAGGTCCAGTCGGCCATGCGACCGAGCTTGTCGCCCTTGGAGAAGGGCGCATAGGGGACGCCATTCAGAGTGGTGTCGCTGGTGACTGGCGGGCCCCAACCGTCGCCGGCCGGGCAAGTCTCAACGAGCTTGACCCAGTCGATTTCCTGAGCCATGATGAAGAACGTGTGTGTGAGTGCGTCCTCGGATGGGCTGCACAAGCGTTCGGGGGGTGGTCGGTATTAAAGGGCGCTGTTGCGGGTGGCAGCGGCGGGCAGCGATTCGGCTCTGGAGAGGGAAAAGTCGTTCAAGGGTTTGGGCTGTGCCGTGTGCGCCTCCTCTCGCCGTCGATTTTCGACGTCTGGTTTTGGTGGGGTGAACTTTGTGGGGCAGAGCGGGCAAAATTTCGTGCACTACACTGCGTTTCCGACACCTGGCAGCCACTGGCATCCACTCGTTTCCACGCGACGCGGGGCCACTACATACCACCTGAGCGGTCTGCCACCTTCGTGTGTCCACGGTCTGTGGGCAGTTAATAAATTAGTCGATGCCTGCGTAACGATCTTTCCTATCAGGTGTTCAGTCACAAAGAAAGGGTCTCTGAATCTTCGAACAATACGTGATTTTGGTTTTCTATTTTCTTTGCCCTCATTACCGATTCATGGTATCAATAGTGTTGTTCCCAGAATACGCTCATGTTTCCCGCTCGAGCATCTCATCAAATAAGTAGTACAGGCTGGGATTGTCTAAATCCCTTATATACATCACACCCTCGCATGGCCAGCACAGGCACAGCTCAAGTGCCTTGATAATGAGATCTTAGTAGACCATCATCTCAGGTCGGGAGCAGAAGACGTTCTCCAGGGCATCCCTGACCTCGAACTCCTCCATCACGGCGCCGAAGCTATGCAGAGATTAGTGAAATGCTCACATGCAAGAATAACAAGAGATACCGGGACCAGCACATACCCGTAACATCGGACCTTGTCCTTGAGCTCGTCAGTGAGCTTGTTGAAGTCCTCGGCGCGGAGCTCATGGCACCTGGGGTGACCGAGAACCATGCCCCAGGCCATGACGGGCGTGACCTCTCCATCGAGGTTGAGCTTCTTGCTAAGGTCCAACAAGGCTGAAAGACTGCCCTTGCTCACTTCCCACGTTCTCTGCTGAGAATCCAAGTCTCCGTTGACGTTACTGTATCCGAACGGGATGTCGGGCGTCAATTCGGGAAAAGGCGCCGGGGGGCACGAGGCCATGAGTGCGTGGCCGCAGGGTTCGCCGCCCATCTCGCTTGATCTCTCTAGTAGCCATGGCATGTGATTCATGCAGGGTTTCTCGAGACTGTACATACCCTCGATAAAATCGCACTCGTTAGCAAGCCCTTCCGTAACTGTGGTTTTTTTGTCTTCGATAATCATCGCTCACACCACGCGACTCCCGGCGGTGACCAGAATTGGTGGCATGAACAACGGCTTCTTTTTACTGCGGGGGAGGTGATAGGTATGCCTTCGAGGGGTGGTGGTTATCGTACGTTAAGACGAAGTCAATGCCCGCTTGCTCAAAGTCCACATTTCTGCCAGAATTCTGCTCCTGCATGTTTTGCAGCTGCTGACCGCCCATCATCTGAGGAAGGGGAGGGGGCGGACCGTGGGAGTGGGAGTGAGACGGACCGTGAGACGAGGGCGACACCGATGGCGCTGTCGTGGATGTCATCGGCGGCGTGTACGCGTTTTGGCCGTAGCTGTGGCCAGACACACTGGCGCTGGACGTGTACCCTGCGCTGGGGTTGCTAATCATGTCGTCGCCGTAGTGCGAGAGAGGGATGCCGTTTTGAGCCAGGATTTGCTTTAGTTGTCTGTTCTCCTCGGCCACTTTGTCCTTGTCTTGCGAAATATTGCTGAAGATCTCTTTTAGTCTCAGCACTTCGTCTTCCAGAGCCTTGATATAAAGCTCTTTTCTCTCACGATGCGTGCTGTCATCGCACTGTCAGTAACTGATGCGATCCCGTGACGATTGCTTATCGAGGCAATCGTAGCTTACCGTTGCGCTTGGCGGTTCAATTCTTGTCTCCTGGTCAGAGCCGGCTTGCTATCGGGCTTCGGCCCTCTCCTCTTGGGCGGATTGCCATCTACAAGGCCCGATTGTTAGATTCTGGACCGCTGGCACCTGGTCTTGAGGTATCCTACCACGTGTCGTCCTCTTTTCCGTCAAGGATTTGAGAAAACCGAGGTTCAAAGAGCTCAGGGGCCCCTTCTCCTGATCGGAACCACCACCACCGTTACCGGAGCCACCGCTGTACGGCAGTTGTTGGGGCGTCTTCCCATACTGGTCTGGCGACAAGGAGGAAGCCATCGCTGCCCTCTCGTATAGCGAGCCAGACGACTGCTTGCGTGCTGGAGACGACGAAGGGTTCGGCGGGGAGCGATAAGCAGCTATGTTGCCCAAGTCAGTCATTTTGTTGTTCAAGAAGCGTCGCAGTCAAGCGACCACGTTTAAGAAGAACAGTTGCGACTCATGTCGTCATGAGGGTGTCTTGCGCGGTACTTGGCCCGATTTTATGGCGGGAGTGGGCTCTTTTTCAAATAGGTGCGCCCGGCTCGAGGCGCAGCTCGCAGTGATGACAGAAAAGGAACCGGATGGATGGACTGAAGGGCTTACCTTGGAAGATTGGATGCGCGGCGGACAGACTCCCGATTCGTCTGGCAATGCGTGGCTGTAGGACGACAGCGACTGCGAGCCGTCACAGCAAGGGGGAGATGTGTAATGGGAGAGGATTGAGCCGTCCAGATCCAGAGGGCTGTATCATGCGCTCGCTGTTTGCCGGACCGCGATTATGGTTATTTGGAAAGAAATTGTTCCCGCACTTGAAACCCAATTCTGGCGTCCGAGCTGTCTGAGGATACAATGCAGCGCGGTGAGGGGGATGAGCAGGGCGTGGGCAGGCTAAGGGTCGGGGTCATGTAGGGAAGCTGGTCCGCCCTGTTTTAGATTTGTTTGACACACTCCAGACGAAGACGATGTCGTGCGTCTTGATCTAGGTCTGGGGATGGTTGCAGCGAAGCTCCCCTTTTTTTTTTGAGCTGCCCACCTAATGATGAGCTTTTCGGTTGGGGAAGAGGGGTTGGAGGAATGGCGGAGAGAATGTGTGTGTGTGAGAGATGGGTGTGTCGTGGGAGTAGGTAGATAGGGAAAGCTGAGGCGATGAAGACGAGGTAGAGAACGGATGACGGCGGAAGCGGAGCAGTAGCCAGAGACAGAGGGAGACCCGACAGCAAACCGAAGAGACGGGGGCGAGATAACCCTTTTTTGCTTCTGAGCTTTTGCTGTGGCCGTGTGGTGGTTTTCAGGTGCAGGTGCAGGTGCAGGTGCGTAAGGCAAGGTGTCCGTGGTGGCTAATGCTGTCGCGAATCGAGATGACGAGAACAGGCGCTACCGCCGCTCTTCTAAGACAAATATGGCGGAAGCGGAGAGCAACAGCAGGAGGGTGAGCGAACAGGATGACAAACAGCCAGCCCGGCAGTCGAGACCAGTCGAGTCGAGTCGAGTCGAGTCGTGTATGGACGATAAGAAGCCGCAAAAGGACGGGCGGCGGGCAGGCAGTCGGGAAGAAACGCGGGGTTTCAGCAGCAGAAGCAGAAGCAGAAGCAGAAGCAGAAGCAGAAGCAGAAGCAGAAGCAGGCCGCTGTTCGGATCAAGTTGAATCCAGTCCGCTAGGAGGAGGCGAGGAATGCGAACTACGAAAGGGTGGCTTTGGTCGATTTCCGTATGCGACTCGTTGAAATTCGATCAAGGAGCGGATTCCGCCTGTCTTTTCGGTAGGCTGGGCCAAGGCACTGGCTGGAAACAGAACTGATCAGAGCAGAGCAGAGCAGAGCAGAGGTTGGTTTGTTAGTAGGTCGTCTTCCTTCTGGCCTGGCTGCGGTGACAAGGGCTCCGAGGTCGTTGCTTTTTCGGGATCATCGGCGTTCCCACGCAGCAACCACGCAATGCAACGAAGCGCAAATCTGGGCGATGTACCGTACCCAGGGTTTGTAGATGTAGACGTAGACAGACGTACGTAGCTGAGAGAGATGGATATGTCGGGGCGGAACGGCGGCAAGCCTATCGATCTGGCCACCGGGTAAAGCGTAGGGCTACTGAGATGGTCTGTAACTCCCGTGGCCCTTTGAGTCGACAGAGGCACGAAGAAGACGCCAGAGTGATTTGTATTTATGTCTGGCGCCGGTACTGGGCTCTGCTTGGCTCTCTGCTAGGCTATGGTGGCGGCGGGGTTCGCTCGAAAGGCGCAGGCCGTGGAGGAGGCGTTGGTCTCGACCCTGACTTGGACTCCAACTGCTGCGTCCGCCCAGCGGTCAACTCAGGGCCAGGTGCGGTGTATCCGTACTGATCCTGGTTTTTGGTACCGGTCCACCACGTTCAGCATGCAGGCCCGAATGGGATGGTAGGTGAGTGAGAGCAGAGAGCAGAGAGGGAGAGGAAAATTATTATGTTGGTCAGAAAAGGCGGTAAAAAGCCGCAGCGGGAATTCTTGCTCTATTATTTAGAGAGTTCATCTACAGTTACCTCAGGTACCTTACCTTAAGATACTTTGTGAGGAGGGAGTCAAGAGGGGAGGGGGGTATGGGAATGTAGGTATTCGTAATGCAGTAGAGTAGGGAGCAGCTGCAGCATCGAGCTTGAGTCCGCGTGAGATTCGGACAAAGTCAAAAAAGTCTCAAGATTTCCGAGCTTCCTTTCAATGTCTAGGTAAGGTATCCAAGGTGCCTTAGTAGAGGGGGAGGCCCGATCGAAGCAGACATCTCAACTACGATACTTTATCGAATCGAGGCCAGGAGAAGATGAAGAAGCTTGACTAGCAGCACCATGAAGCTACCTACTTACCAGCCTACCTAGGTTCTGCCCTTTGACAAAAAGCGCGCCGGGCCAGCTTCCATTTAGTTCAGGCGGGGCGAGCAATGGAGGGGTTCCCATTCGCAGGCACAGTGTCCGTCCATAGGTACGCGGGAAGCATCCTGGATTCGATCCTGGTGGCCGCTCTGTTTCTTCGGGAGCAGCGGCTGGTCCCCACAAGCCTTTCAAAGGGCTTCCGTACCTTAGTACGGAGCACCTACTGCGTACTTACCTAACCTAGGTAGGTAGGGTGACTTGCTTGACTCAGAGTGGTCGCCCACAGCTCCGGACCCTGCAAAGCTGTTGGAAACAACGCCCGCCGCCAGGAAACAGCAAACACCGTCTCGTCGCGCCGGGGCGAGCTCCGAGGTTGTCGGCTCACTTCAGGTCAGGTCAGGGTCGACTCGAGAAGGGAAGGCCAGCCAGCCAGGCAGGTCAAGACATAGGTCTACCTAGGTAAGGTGGCCACGACAGCCCTGAGACTAGGTGATGCCTTGGGACCAATATCCAACGCCTTCATACGCCCGTAACAAGAACCCCATGACTTGGCCAGCCTCTCAAATCACCTCCCCAACAGCATGAGATCCCGGCAGCCTGCGACGGCCTGCTTGACAAGCTGAATCCCAGCCCAACCTTACCTGCGGCCATGCGCGCAGTCGAGAGAGAGCCAAGACCAGACACCCGACCGACGCGGGTATACGAATCTCGAAATCTCGCAGGAATATCTCTTAAGCGACCACCAGAACCCGGGCCACGGCATGCCGCGCCCCATGCAGCATCAGCACGTACTATGTATGTACGGATACCTTGCGCAAGTTCCTTCCGCAGTATTTGTACGGATATTAAGCCTCGGTACGGCTCAAGTGACCATGGCCAAAACCCAATGGCTGCTGCATCAACATCGGACGAGCTTGAGAAAAGCCAAGAGTCCCTTATCTCAACCTCCTACTTCAATAATGCGAACCCGGCCGACTTCCTGGGTGTTACTATTTTGACATTTCTGCCGCCAACTCTTTTGACACATGAGCACCAGTCCGTGTGTCGCTGTCCTGTCATTGTCAAGTCCATGTCGGCACACGTCGTGCATCTGTCGGATCACGGTCCGCTGGCACTTTGACGTCTCACCCCTGGCTTCTGGCTGGACTGCATCTTCCAAGTTCCATACCAGGTACGCATTCTCGACTCGGCCCATGTGATCAGCAAGCACTCCGCGGGATGGGAGAGAAGGAAACCCCTGGTTCCACAATTGGGGGACTCTGGAGGGGCCACTGATCCTCGTCGCCATTATTAAGGAACAAAGTTCAACGTGCCGTTCATCGGCTCCAAAGACGGACGACGGTTCTCTCGCCCAAAAAGTCTATGCCGTCATACCGTATCCCACTTGGGAATCCCGGCGGGACCGGCGATTCTGCTAGTCGAGAACGAGCCATTGCAGTATTATGTTTCCTTTTCCCCCGAGCCTTCTGTGCATCTTGCAGTCGCAATCAGTCCTTCGAATGGAATATCCTCAGCCCATGGTCGCCTAGAACCAGAGCTTAAAAGATTCCTTGTCGATCAAAGCAGACAGGGAACACGGCGGTAGCTTGTGCTTGCCTCAACGACCGAGCGGCGGGAGAGGCGCGCACATCTCTGAGACGAGTTGAACCCCAGATCACACTCACTACCCACTGCCCCAAGCTTGTTCCAAAACGCCCTCTCCAAGAACTGGCGCGGAAAGTCACGCGCACGCGGCTCCCTTTCGAAACATTCCCATCCCAGGGCGAGGTACCCCTGGAGGGGGGAAAGGCCAGTAGGTAGATCACTCAGCCGCGCTTCGAACCGTCGTCTCTTTTGCTCCCGCTACTGCCCGTCGCATAGTACGACCAGGACATAGTCAACAACTTTATTGCTTACTTTTTTTGGCGGAGACTTTTACTGCCCAAAAGTTGCGACTTGCGAACAGATATCCAGAGTTGAAGGTACCAGAACGTGCCCTTACCGTAGCGAATTGGATTGTTTCGCTTCGCTTTCGCTGTCGCTTTCGACTTGAGCCTTGACGACGGGTTGGTTATCCACACGTCTGTCATCGTCATGGCCGGCAACGGTAATATGATCACTCACTTCCGGGGAGCCGCAATCTTGGCGCCGTGGGTGCTCTGGTTGCTGCTGGCCGACACCGCCATTTCCCTCCAGCTGCCGTTTAAATGGTTCTTCCCAGACTTCGTCTACAACTCGTCGTCGAGGATCGCCGAGACCGTGTGGTACTGGATCCAGATCATCTTTGAGCGTTTCAACGGCGCCAACATCACCTTTTCCGGTGATGCTATTCCGCGCGGAGAGTCGGCCGTCGTGGTCGCCAACCACGTCGGATGGGCAGACTTTTACATGATCCAGGCCTTGGCCATCAAGGCCGGGATGCTCGGTCGGTGTCGCTACTTTGCCAAGATTCAGTTGCGGATCGTCCCGTTCCTGGGCTGGGGGTTGTGGGCGATGGGCATGCCCATGGTGAGCCGCAACTGGTCCAAGGACAGGCATGAACTTGATAGAGCCTTCTCGGGCATCGTTAATAGGCAATGGCCAACTTGTAAGTAGCTGCTGGCGAGGACCCATCCCGAGACTGTGAAGATGGCAACTGACCTAGTGCAGGGCTCATCAGCTTCAGCGAGGCCACCCGCTTCACAAAGAAGAAGTACGAGCAGTCAATCGTCTGGTGCAAGGAGTCGGGGCGTCCGCAGCCGATGCATCTCCTCTACCCAAGAACCAAAGGCTTCATCACCACCGTGCAGCATCTCAGAAAGGCCTCTCACGTCAAGGCAGTATACGACATTACGATTGCGTATCAGAGGGGAGGCGAGTTCCATGCTGCACCGACGATGTGGGACACCCTGAGCGTCCCCGGACTCAGCTCGAGGCTTGGGTACAAATTTCACGTTCATGTGCGAAGGTTTCCGCTTGAGACTCTGCCGACAGATGATGAGAAACTGGCCAAGTGGCTTGAGAATGTCTGGGTTGAAAAGGGTGAGTGGCTGGACGTGAAGAAGGCTGAGTGGGCGTCTACGGCATGAGGCTATCTGAAGAAGCCATGCGTAGTTAACTCTTCGTGCCCACGCCCAACTCTTTGGGCGATGAGCACACCGCAATGCGGCAGTATCAAGTCTGTCGAGATCATAATGAGTCGGTCGACTACGAGAGGTTTTCACCCCAGACGACCACCTAATAAAATGAGATCTATTCCCAAAATCAAGGCCGGCTGGGCGATGAAACCGAGACCGCACATGTGCATGTTTGGCATGTAGTCGACATGCGGGAGCTTTCGGCCAACAAAGCAATGCTTGCCGGCCCCCGGACTTTTCAGATACTGTGATCTATTGACACCTTGGCGCCATGTAGAAGACGGACGCGAGCCCAACCCGCAGGCGCCCAATGCCATGATGCCGTCCAAGTGATTTGCCAATTGGTTAGGCACAGCGGCATTGATGGACCAGATGTCTTGCAGAATAGCCCAACCGTTGGAGAGCATCAAGTCACACCAATGAACGGGGGCGGCCAAACGGAAGAGTCCCCGTGTCTCACAGTGAGATACGTTCAACAAGGCGATCGCCAATAAACGTCAGACTGAGGTGATGATGGCGGTTTGATGACAATTATCTCGTCATCCGCCGTGAGGAGGCCGGGAGCACCTAGCTGGGCTAAACAAGGCGGAATGCTATCAAACCGTACCCTCTACCGGCGACTTCTGTCGATAACGGCCTGAGCAAAGGTGGTTGTGACAGGCGTCTGAATGGCAACTTCTGCCGGAGCCACGACTGTAAGGGGTGCCTCATAATGACGGCGTAGTCTTACTGTATCAGTTTGTTCTCGTAGTACCACAGAGAAAGGAGTTGAAGACGGGCGCTCGATATGAGGCGTTGGGATAATTGTCTTCTGATGCTGTATCCTCGCGGAAGGTCCAGCAAGTACGCACAATTACGGGAACAGAGTCGTACAACCCGTCATGTATAGTAGTGTGTGTGATTACTTATGTCAATTGCAACTAATGGAACCATCAGCTTAGTTCGAGTGCCAGGGCTTTGCTCCCGAGCCTGAATTCGCGGCCTGTTTATGCGTCGCTGGCGGACGTGATTCACGGGCTGCCTGTATTTTGAACTTTGGCTTCTTCTTCTCCTCGCAGCTGAACTATTCTGCGTTGTGTTCGGCTGATAGCACGATTTCCTCTGTAAACACTTGATCTACACACATTGTGAAATAATAAACGAAAGGCCCAGGTAGAAGTAACTGACTGGATACCTTCACATTCATAGAATATCACACGCAAGCTTGGCGTATACATCAGGGAGGGACATTTTGATAAAACTTCAGTGGCTTTGAATCCTGGGAGAGCCTCGAGCCCATCCGGTTTTTGTGTTGTATTATGTATTAGAATATTGCTTCTGTTTTCCGATTTCTTCCTGGTAATCACTTTTTTCCCCTCCGACGGTTAACTCCATGCTTCCTAACCAGCCAGTAAACGTTCAAATGCGAGCCAAACGACCCTCCTTTTCAGCCTCTTGACTTAAATGCCTTCAAGCAGCTGGTGTGCTACCCGCAGAGGCAGCCATAGCCTCTCTCGCCAGTATGTTGAGTTGTTCTCTTTCCTCTGTGGTCTCTCTGATGGCTGCGGGTGTTGCTGTCGTAGAAGACGGCACGGAGGCGTCTGTGGTAGAGGTTGGCGTTCTTGTCCCCGCCGAGATGTTTTCAGTCCTCGGAGGTGCTGGTAGAAGCACACGGGGCGCGGGAGATTGAGAAGCCGGCAGCAGCATTCGCGGGACCGGTGATTGTGAGGCCGGTAGCAGCACATGAGGAGCGGGAGGTTGGGAAGCTGGCAGCAGTACACGAGGAGCCGGTGATTGGGAGGCCGGCAGCAGCACATGAGGAGCCGGTGGTTGTGAGACTGGTGGCGGCGCACGCGGAGCGGGAGACTGAGAAACCGGCAGCACAGCGCGCGGAGCTGGAGAGACGGGTGGTAAACCCTGAGAAAACGTTGCGGCTGCGACGCTCCACGCACTTGCCCGTGAACTCATCTCGCCGGCCTCGGGTTGCGGTAGACCCTGAATCTGCATCCGCACATCCTCCGACGCCCTCTGCCAGGCCCCCTCATAACCGGGGATCATCTCCGGCAAGGCCTCCGTCGGCCAGCCGATCGCACTCAACTGCTCCCTCCGCTCCTCCGCCTCCTTCCACCTCCTCTCTTCCTCCTCGGCCATCCGTCTCTTCTCGGCCTTGGTCAACTTCTTCGGCGCGTTCCCGAGGATCTTCTGCCGCCGCTTCCACCAGCTGTGGACGGTCCGCTCGGGGACCTTGAACCAGTCGGACGTCTCCTTCAGGGTCGGCCACCGGTACCCGGGCTCCTCGGGTGGCTGCTGGTCCTCGCGGCCGCCGTTCCAGCCCTTACGCGCGCGTATGTCGTTCTCGTCCGTCACGCGGATCTTGTGGTTCTGCAGGAACATGACGACCTCCCTGCGCTTCTGGTCCGTGTACGACCTCTCCATGCGCTTTAGCGGCCCGCGGGCCTGGTAGCGCGCGCGCTCCTCTATGGGTTTGGGCGGTGGGCCGGGGCGTTTGTAAGGGGTGCCGTCTGCTTTGTACTTGGCGCCGGCGATGCGCCCCGTCCTTTTGCGCTCCGCGAAGACGACCGTCACGCCGGACGGAACGGCTCGGGCGGAGGCCGGCGACTGCGGCTGCGACCGTGACGGCGATGCCGGGCTGCTGCCGGGCCCTACGTCCTCGGCGGCAGCGGCAGCGGCAGCTCCGGCGATTGGTGTTTCGGCCGTTGTCGATGACATGGATGACGGCTCGCGGCGAGCGACTCAGAGCGTTGGAAACAAAGCGTCCGCGAATCTTGGGGTATTGTTTTTGTCTTTCCTCCCGAGACGCGTCTTTTGGCTTAGGTAACGGTGCAAAAGCAGCAGTATTTGTCCGTGCTCCGTGCGAATTTTTGGACTTGGTAGAGTGTTGTGAACTGATGCATGCCCCACCACCCAACCATCCCATCCCTGCTTACAACTCGCAGTTCTTGTGTCGGTCTGTCTCATCGCCATAGTTCTTGAACAATTCCGACCTGGAATGGTGGCTCATGACGCTCGTGTTTTTGTTTCTTGTTGTCTTTATTTCCTCTTTCTCGCGACACGCATTGCAGAAACAGAAAAGTCCACACGTTGCAAACTGGGGCCGGGGGGCTGGAATGGGAAGTTCGCGACACAAGAGTCGCAGTGAGCCACTCGGTTTCGGTCCACCAAAACATGGCCATTCAACAACAATAACCTTACCCCTCAATTGCAGCGCGAAGTTCTACGTTGGACCACGGAGAAACCGGCGTCACATGGCTTATCTGAGCTCTGATTGGACTCAACGCCCAAAGGGGCGCCAACGAAGCGATTTTCCACGGCGAACATGAACGTTGCGAGACTTGCAGCGTGTCTCAGAGGTAAAACGACACAACTTCTCGCGTGGTTCGCAGAGGGCTGTGGCTAGAAAAGGCAGCCCTTCGTCTGAGACGTCGGTCCCAACTTCAGACCGGCGGCTAGTGACAAACAGCGCCGTCAGTCGAGGCACACCCTATCCGGACTCCCCCAGATATTGATAGGGCAGTGACACGCTGCCCCTGGCCTTGTGACGAAGGCCACAAAACTTAACAATATACTCTGCTTCAGTTCTGCATCGCCGACGATGTTTATGCGTGGCATTTCTCTGCCGACGCCAGTATCTTATCAGACTGACTGTAGGCATGGAGGCTTAGATGAATTTGCGCCAGGTCAAGTTGCGAGTAGCATACAGGTTGAAGGGATTGTCCCGTGGCTTATTGCCATGCCAAGATAGCCATCCTGACTTCGAATGGTACTCTAACCTTGGAGAGTGCACTAATCACGGCTACAAACTCAATTGCCGTAGCCAGAAGTGAGTGATGGGAGTCGGACCCCGCAGGTCACTTGCTTATGTCTGCACCAGTTGGATGGCCTCTCTAAACCACGGCAGCTGTCGATCACCTGGCTCACCGCAACTGCGGATCGAGAACGCGGGGAGAGCTGCTAGACTAACATGAAGATCGCAACGAAGTGGAACTAAGACATCTGGGTCTAGTTCAGTTCTGGTTGAGAATACCGTCTATATGGCGCCTTCAATGCCAGACAACATCGGCATCCAAGGACAGAGGAGGACCTTGGAAAGAGCCTGGAGAGCAGGGTCCTGCAAACAAAAATGTCCAGCTGACTCGGCGATCCGTGGCCACGGCACGACCTTGAACTTACCCGAGCCCGGATTGAGGCACAGGGTTAGAAGCCAAGGATGGCTCTGGGGCAGAGAGGATTTCCCAACCACCAGCACGATGCCTGTCCGGAGGCAGACATGCAGTAACATGAGTCGTTAAGGTTGTCTGGGGTTGCCGCAAAGAGGCGGCTAAATTCCAGACAGAAACTTTCAGAGTCTGAGCTCCTGGCATGTTTGGGATGACAGGCGTGGGAAGTCTCGATGTGTGAGAGACAGAGACTGGGAGAGGGAATGAGAGTGCCGCCGCCGGCCCACTTCCGAGCATTTGATGGGGAGCTGTGACCCGAGACCCGGCCGTGGCTTTTTGGGAAGGAAGAAAGACAGCCACTTTGTGCTTGGGACGAACAGTTTACACCAGGCGTCGATCTTGAGCAGGAATGTAGTCGATCATGCACGGGACCTAACCTCGATCAGTCATCAATGCAATCTGTGCGGTTGACGACACAAGGGACGACTGAGAAGATCGGTGGCCTAGAGAGATGGCGGCTCCATTGGCTAACCCGAATGTTTCGCGAGGCGCAGGCCCGCGGGGCGTGAGTAACACGTTCAAGGTGCCTTGTGTGCCGTGGCAGCGTGGATGGAAGATCATTTCGAAGGACGGATCTCGATTCGGCGCCGTTTACCCCAGCCCGTGGATGAGGTAGACTAACCTTCCAAAGGCAGGCTCCTGGTTCAATGACAAGGGGGCTTTCGGAAAAGCCAGCGGTCTGGGAGAGTAGGGTATCATGGCAGGGATACTCGAGATGAAGATGATGGAAAGTCTGGAAGAAGGTGATGGACGCCGGGAGCACGGCAGGTGGGCGATGGTGACATGAGCGAGTGGGCGGAGGCCGAAGGGTAAATAGTGAGACAAGGTGCAGGACGGGAGATAAAAAGAGATCAAGCAGGACGTTTGGGGGGGAGAATGGTGGTTCAATGTCCACACTGCCCACTCCACAGCGAGTGAGAAGGATGCAGATTGAAGCGATTCGGTGCTCGGGGATGGTGCACTCGTACAATTCTGTCACCCGCGGGATCCTTTCGTCACCCTGCCGCCGATTGGGTAAAGATGCTAGGGATGACGGGATTGGCAAGCATCATGCGGGCAGAACGCTTGGCGCGGGCGTTTTGGAGATTTCGGGGTCGAGCCTGCCAAGCCTGCTTGATCGATAGCACTGTTCCCAGTTCGAACCTGGCAGCGATGGAGCGAGCGGTGGACGACGTCGGCGGGAGGTGGATGTGAGAAGAGACGGAGGCGGAGGCGGTGGAGGTGCATGCCGGATGGACGTCGTCGTGAGATGGTGGTGCCAAAATTTGGCGTGCTCTGCCGTTGGACGCGACTTAACGTGGCCAAAAATGGAACAGTTGACCCCGTCCTCGACACTTCCAAACTCCCTTGTCTGGTTTCCATCTCCATCTGTGTCGATTTGATAGGTATTTTGTGGTCTAGCTTCCGCAGTGGCAGGCGGAGCACACTCGCCTGTCGTATCGCCGCTGTCCTCGGTCTCCAGACCTCCCGCTTACTCGTTCCACGACACCCCAGACGCTGGGGAATCAGGCACTCGCAGACGGCTGGCTACGTTTCCTCTTTCTTTTCCTAGACTTCTTTGCGGCACTTGGGAACACTGTGCACATCCATCTGACCAAGCTGATGACGATGTGTGGATGTGTGTGTGTGTGTGTGTGTGTGTGGAAGAAAGAGATGGCACACCTCTCAACTCACCTCCGAGTCTTGTGTGTGTACCGGTGAGCAGATGCAGGACTGAGATGCAGATGCAGACTGGGGCACGTTACATAACAGGTGCCGCGAAAGGGTTGCTGAACTGCTGTTGCTGTGCCAGGTCTTATTCTTGGATGCCATCCGCATCAAAACTCGCGGCCACAATTCTCTGTCTAGGCGAACATTGATCAGACGTCTAGACCGGCTTGGAAGGTGTTGGCAAACACGGCGGCCACAGGCGATACGGTGAAGCCTACCAAGCACCCTAGTAAGCTGTCGCCTTTGATAGTGGGCGGTCGTCAATCGATTGCGGCTATGCAAACCCATATGACGTATGTCGCACCTCGAGACAGAGGGAAATGGCGGCAATGACATGCGCGTCCCTCACCGTTTCCAATGTTTTTGAGCAGCGAGAGGCTAGCAGAAACGGTTGCACTTGTTGATCCATGATTACGTGCAAGTGTGAGGCGGTTTTCATGTCTACATGGTATATCTACTGAAGCGTTAAAACTGCCGGCATCGAACTCCATCCGTCCCGGGCAGAGTCAGCTAGGAGGCGCGTCCAATCTTTTTGGCACTCGCCTTCTACCTGAGACACCCCGGACTGGGGACGCTCGATGTAGATCAACGCAATCCCAAGGGGCCAAATGCCAGTCGTTTGCATTCTCGAAAGGATCCATCCCAGGATGGACCATCGACGATCTTTGTGGCCTTCACCCTCCGATTCGCAGCTCCAGAAGCATGGGAGCGGTGACATGTTGGTTGCCGGCAGCGGTGCCTCAACGGCTCGACTGCTCAGCGCAGAGGGAAAAACAAAAGGATATCGAGGTCGGCGGGGTCAAACACGACAGGCACAGGTGCCGGAGTGCCGCGAATGCAACGGTGAACAGTAAGTAGCACGTACTATGCGGTACGAAGAAGCTGCTATGTGGGACGATAGGATAAAAGCAAAGCCACAGAAACGTCGTGATGGTGTGAGCAACAAGCAGCGTGCCCAAGTTGCAGGAGTGCGGCTTGGGATGGGGAGACCAGGTGATGGTGTCTTACCACTATGGCATGGGCTGGCGCGGGAAGCCCCAGTGACAGTACCACCTCTAGCTCCTAGCACGCATCTTAGTGCTTGGGGCCGACGTGCGATGCCTCATCATGCCAGAGTATTGGTCCCTGTTGCGAGTACGTAACGCTTGATTGTCCGGTTTGCAGGTACTGTGGACAGTGATGCGTGTGCTGAGAACCCGACCTGGCCGTCTGTACCCACGTCGGCTTCGGCGTCGGTGGGCCGGAGGGGAGGGGAGCGGCGGGGGGCTGAACTGAAATGCACGAGACCGAAGATGGGATAGGCGAGTTTGTGGGATGGCATTTGGACCCCTGGAGCGGAAGGGCCAGCATTCATGAAGACGACACTCGTGCGTGCGGGCAGGCCTGTATCTAAGACGCAAACTAACCAAGCCAGCCCGCAGCCCGAGCCCAGGGAGACAGACGGGAGCAAACTTTCCCATGTGGCCATTCCGGTGCCAAACTTCGGGCTGTCGTTTCTGTTCTCTCTCCCTTGGGTCTGGAAACACATTCCGGACAATCTTCTATCTTCATGTCTGCGTCAGAAGCCAAAGTCAAAATTTTAGACAATGTTCAAAAGAGCCTTTCCCTCGATGGTCCGGTAGGGTAATTACATACGACGCAGGGGAGCTCGTACAAGGGGACGAGATAAGAAAGGAAGGCTCCGAAGAGAAGAAAACAATGTAGACGAGTAAAGGCATGGGCTGAAGAAGGGGTTTGTTTGTACATGCCTTAGGTAATAAGGCTTCTGTTTTGCATAGCATCATCAAAGTGGTCCAAAAGGAAACGGGATGAGGGACACGAGGCGCAAGGTAGGGCAGGTGGGAGAGGAGAGAGGAGAAGGGTCCAATGCGTTGAAGTGTGTGATGCGCTGCTTGCCTCCAGAAAATGGAGACACAGGCTGTATGTACTGCGCACTTGTGCCTGCTGGCTGCAGACCAGACCGCAGCATGTCGGATTGCTTGCATGACCGTTGCGACGGTGATTTTCGTCCTGTGCTTCTTACTTTCTTTTTTCTCAAGCTGCCCATCCGCCCGTCCGTCCGTCCGCCCCTTTACCTTTTTCTGCCTCCCACCGTCGGCGGGCCCCAGTTGCTATCACTCTGCCTCCTGCCTGATGACCAACTTAAGGTGCGATGGAAGTACATTTCGGGTTGTATTGATCCATGCGTTGGTTTGTAAGCGGCATCCATGGATAGAGCACAGGAGAGGGGAGGTGAGGAGAGAGGAAAGGAGTAAGGTGAGGAAACATGTGTACACAGGTAAGCAGATAGACTGATGGATCGGCCTTAGAGGAGAAACGTAGCGAGAGGAGGAGAGGTGAACGATGATAAGACTCTAGAAAGCATGTCGGTGGATTCAAGTTACACTTGCGCATACTCCTGAGGTGTCCATACTTGCACTTGCAGTGGAAGTTGTTGATTTGTTTCCAGCGGATGGACGAGAGAAAACCTCCGAGTGGTCCATCAGCGCGGCCCCTCGCGGCGGCGCCCCCGCCAGCACCAGCCAGCCCAGCCCAGCCCAGCCCGGCTCAGCCCAGTCCTTTCCGCTCCGTCCAATGTGTGAGGCGTGCCCTAGTGCGTGAGGTGCCCAGGTGAGGTGCTGCTTCCAACTGTTCAGGAGGGCCGGGCTGGTGCCAGCTGCACCGCGCTCTTGCTGTGCAGATGCTGGCAACTGAGGTGAGATGCCCGGTGGAAGGTAAGGTGGATGGCGGGCGGGACGGGGGACGGGGGACGGGGAAGGAGCGAGCCCCTTCCCCCTGCTGCCTCGAACCTTCCCACCCACGACGACCTCGAACCTTTACCTGGCACTGGCACAGGCACTGGCTCTACTGCGTAGTATCGTCCTTTGGTGGTTTGCTCCCACCCCAAAAATTCACACACCCGACTCCCCGACTCCCTCGCTCGTGTTTTAGCGAGTCCGCTAGCTGGAAAGAGGACTAGGCTGCTTTGGGTAGAGGTACGTGGTGTCGCATACAAAGATGGCGCCTATTGCATGTATCGCTACTGGGTCTGTCCCAGAAGATCCCGGCTCCATTGGTCAGACCGAGCCCCTTCCCCGCTTAATCCGACCATCCACGGCCTGACCACTTCCACAGGCAAGAGGCCAGTACCTACCTACCTACCTACCTCAGGTGCGGCAGGTGTGGTGCCTGCTTTGGAGTGAGGTGGTAGGCAAGGTACCTACTACGCAGTACAGGCTGCCCGTAAGGTGCCGTCGGCCGCGACGCGACGGGACCACTGCCAACTGAGCTGCTCTCTGCTTTCTGCTGGGGGGGGGGCTCGGCTTGGACTGGGCTGTTGCCGACGTTGACCTTAGGCAAGAGGTGCTAAGGCAAGGCAAGACAAGACAAGAGGAGCGAGCAGGGTAGGTAATGAGTGTGACTGTCAACCATCATCACAAAGGGCCACCCTGCGGCGTGAACTTTGGCGTGTGTCCTTCTCTTGACCTTTTTTTTTTCTTCTGCCCTCGTGTTTTTTTGTTTGACGACGACGACAACGACACACAAGGCCCAGTATTCCGTACGGCCAACGGCACTGCGCTGCGAGCTCTGTCCCTTAGGACAAGTCAACTGCGATTCTCGCTCCCCCCCCTCGCCTCCGCTTCTCCATCGTCAGTCACGTCGAGTCGACCAACTTCTTTCCTGCCCTGATCCCCTTCCGGCACGAAACGTTGAAGGAGTAGCCAGCTAGCCGCCAACACCTCCGGCCCTGCGCTGCATCACCAAACGACGTCTTGACGTCGAGCGTTCCTTTTCCGATTTCCGAACTTCATCTTGGCTTTCGATTCTCCAACGAACGCTCGCTGCTTGGTGGTGCCGCCGACTGCCTTCGTCCACCGTCGCCCACCCCCGACTGAACCTCGCAACTCCTGGGTCAGCGCAATCGCCAAATACCGGAGCTTTCTCTCGCTTCCCGCGCACCGAGACTGCCCGCTTCGATTCTCGTCATGTCTTGTGGTCTGGCTTGTCTGTAGCCTTGGCCCCTTGCCGGACAACCTGGCTTATTTGGTGTCGCCGAGTTGAACCAATTCTCGACCACGCCGCAGCCTCCATCTTCTTTCGCCCACATTTCGCAACAACACCCTTCCAGACAGTACTCGCTCGCCGAGACGATTCAAACCGGCCAATGGTATCGACACAATCGGGGATTCTGCCCACCAACTTCCAATCATGGACCCTCAACCCAGCATGCTGGCACCCCCGGCCGTGACCAATCTCCGGTCACAAGCCGGCGCAATGGAACGCACCCTTAGCGAAGACATTCGAGAAGAACGAGAAGAACTACGTGAAGCTGCCGAGCAGACTTTGAACGTTATTGTCGACCTCAACCTCGACGGTACAATCCGATGGGTTAGCCCGTCATGGACCGATGTTATCGGCACTCAACCCGAGTCGGTCAAAGGATCCGCCATAGCCGATCTGATCGTGAGCGACAACAAGACTGTCTTCGCTGATACTGTCGAGTCTATGAAGAAGGATGACTCGCGGAGTCAGCGAGTGCGCTTCGCCGTTGCCATGGGCCCGCTGTCCAAGCTGCTTCCGCTGGAAGACATCCCGGAACTGGAAACTGACGATGCTGAAGAGTGCGCGCCTGCTACGATTGACCTGGAAGCACAGGGGATAATGGTCTACGACGGAGTGTCGGGAGGAGAAAGCCACGTAAGTACACTCTGCTGACAGCTTGAGCTTCTGTCCTGCTGACGACTTCGCGTCCCAGACGATGTGGATGATCCGGCCGTACATTGCGCCCCGAGAAATCAAGATCGACCTGCCCGCCGTCATCGTGGACTCGCTTGGCTCTGGTGCCGAGGTCCTTGCCAGCTACTTGACGCAGCTGGCAGAGTCCGGGGTCGACGATCCCGAGAATCACCCACCACCGCTGCCCGTCCTTTGTCGTATCTGCGAGCGCCAGATCTCGCCATGGTGGTTCGAGAAGCACACTGACCTTTGTTTGCAAGAGCATCGGGCAGAGATGGATGTACAGATGGCTCAAGACAGCTTGACCGATCACCGACATTCGATCGTCAAAGTCCTCGACGCTCTCGAGGCTAGAAAGAGCCGGTCCCTGACGGGAGATCAGTTGACACTCCCCGCAGCAGAGTACAAGGGCATGCTCATTGGTCCTCCCCCGTCGGCATCGTCATCCCCTGGAAGCTCAGTGTCTCAGTCGAGGGAAAGGTCTGGTGGTTTTGGTCATTCCCGAGCTCGATCTTTTGCCATCAGACGCCCCCAAGCAAGAATCGTGGAATTGTTGCTCGATCTTTGCGATACGGCCATTGAAATCAGCACTCCCGCAGTCAAGGAGGCATCGTCTCAGAACCCTGGCGAGATTAGGACACAATCACCACAGTCCGAGTCTCGCATTTCCCAGGTCATGCAATGGCAATCACCCAGTACAAACACGTTGGAGCAGGAGCATGGCCTTGCACTTCTGTGCGCTGACACCGAGAAGGCTGCCAAAACCAAAGTCGAAGCCGTGTTCCGACATCGCAAGATCATCGAATACGCCGAGCGCATCAGAATTGAATTCGCTGTCATCGTCCAAGACTGCATTGATGAGGCCATGCGCAAAGCTGCTAGGATTGCCGCTGGGCGCCTTAGCGACTCGACTGAGGACGAAGAGGAGGAAGAGGGGATTAATCCTGCCCAGGATGAACTATTTTTCCAAGGATCATTCGAAAACTCCTCTCTTGCTGCTGCCTTGCAAAATGTCAGTGTAACTGACAGTCTCGAGAGACCGCGGCCGACCTCCTTCGTGGAATCCACCCGTTCGAGCAGCCCTAGGGAGTGCCCGACGCCGCGATCCAACCTAGGAGGCATCAACCCCGCTGTGCCTGCCCGTGAGTCGAGGCGGGAATCCTTGCTGTTCGAGAGCGACAATGGGGACAGTGATGGAAGCATCAGGTCTTCATCGGTGGCCTCAAGACAGCCGCCTCGGACCGACTCGCCGATTTCCGAATTTGGAGACCTTCGTCGCGCTGCCAGCGCTCGACAGCATCACCGCCGGAGTATCATCTTGCCTGGAACATCGTCACCTCGACGACAAGAATCGCCTTCACGCAACAACCAGCCGTCGTCTCCTCTCAGGATCATGAAGCCAAGGAACTTCCCCTTCCCACAGGATGGTATTACCTCTCCTGAAGCTTCTCCGCTGTTGCCAACTAGCGAGTTCAGCTCCCCTGCTCATCTGCCAATCAACCATCACCGCAGGCAGTCGTCAGCCGCCATGTCCGAATTTGTGATGAAAGGGCCTCCGTCCCCAAGAATGACAGCCCATCAGCCTCCGCCACAGGCACGGCCTGCACCCCCTTCAATCAAGGATTTCGAGATTATCAAGCCGATCAGTAAGGGTGCCTTTGGCAGTGTTTACTTGTCCAAGAAGAAATCGACTGGCGAGTACTTCGCCATCAAAGTTTTGAAGAAAGCAGACATGGTCGCGAAAAACCAAGTTGGAAATGTCAAGGCTGAGCGCGCCATCATGATGTGGCAGGGGCAAAGCGAGTTCGTTGCCAAGCTGTACTGGACATTCTCGAGCAAGGACTATCTGTATCTTGTGATGGAGTACCTCAACGGTGGTGATTGTGCATCCCTGATCAAGGTCCTCGGAGGTCTGCCAGAAGATTGGGTCAAAAAGTACTTGGGCGAGGTCGTTCTTGGCGTGGAACATTTACACAGCCGAGGCATCATTCATCGCGACCTGAAGCCCGACAACCTCCTCATCGACCAGAAAGGTCACTTGAAGCTGACTGATTTCGGACTGTCTCGCATGGGTCTTGTTGGCCGACAGAAGCGTGCTCTTGACAGCCAAAACGGAGATCCCACGCCTGACTTGCTCAAACAGGGGCCTTTCGCTCGCTCGGCATCTTTGGCATCATCACGATCTACTTCGCTGGACCTCCACGGTCACGCTCATTCCCCGAGCATGACCCCGCAGATGACACCCGACACCGGATCCAGCACTGGGCAGCCTTCATACTTTGCTCTAGGTGGCTCAGAGGCCCGTCGTGTCTCCAGCCACCGCAGCGACAGCGGTGGCAGTGAGACCCTAACCCGCATGCTAAACAACTTTTCTTTGAACGAGCAGGATCCGAACTCGCAAGCTTCCCACCCGCAGCCGGCCCACGACGAGGGCCATGATGGCACTGGACATCCATCTCCTGACCCGCCCCAGCTCCACCACGCTAGCACACAGTCCAGCGTTGACTTTCTGGGCAAGAGCACTCCTCCGCAGTCCTCAATGATGCCTCCCCCGATGGCCCTCTTCGACCCTGAAGACACCAATCGTCGCTTCGTCGGCACACCCGACTACCTTGCGCCCGAGACCATCAAGGGCGAGAAACAAGACGAAACCAGCGATTGGTGGTCTGTTGGTTGCATTATGTTCGAGTTCCTCTACGGATATCCTCCTTTCCATGCCGATGAAGCGGAGCAAGTTTTTGAAAACATCTTGGCTCGGAGGATTCAATGGCCGGATGAGAATGAGTGCGAGCCTATTTCCGAAGAGGCCAAGGACCTCATCAACAAGCTGCTGTGCATGGAACCGCAGTCACGGCTGGGTGCTAACCGGGAGGATAAGTTCCCATCGGGTGGCGATGAAATCCGAGCCCACTCCTGGTTCGACGGCATCAATTGGGAAACTCTGCTCCAAGACGAGGCTCAATTTGTGCCTCAACTTGAGCACCCCGAAGACACCGAATACTTTGACGCTCGCGGAGCCGTCCTACAGTCCTTCGCTGAAGAGATGGAGGACCAGATGTCGCCCCCTGTTTCGAGCACGGCTTCGGACTATCCCGACCGACCTCACGATGCCCTGTCCCGCGTCCGGTCCCAAGTCAACTCCATCAAGCGCAATCTTATGCCGCTGCACATCCCTCCCCACGTCAGAGACTTGAAGAGTAGACGGCTTAGCGAGCCTGTCGTTGCCGATGATTTCGGCAGTTTCACCTTCAAGAATCTTCCGGTGCTTGAAAAAGCCAACAAAGATGTCATCCAGAAGCTTCGCGCGGAGGCACTGGCATCTCAGAGCAAGCCGACCGTCATCAGCCCCGGCGGTAGCGTTACATCGCCCGGTCCGGTCCTTGAGGGTAGCCCTGTTCTTGCGAACCCGGTCCAAAGAACAATCTCGAACGCAAAGAACCGACCTCAATCACCTTCTGGACTGAGCCACGCCGCCTCCTCTCCAAGCAGGGCCTCTCAGCCGTCCTCGCCGCTTCTGGTGTCTTTTGTGGCTGGCCAAGGAAGCGAGGGTAGACGTAAGGCATCTAGCAACTCGTCAAACCTTTCGCAGCAGTCAACCGCTCCGCATCAGCCGGCCTCCCTTGACATACCACGGGTTCCGCCAAGCTTACAGAAGGCGGCTACGAGTGCGGCCGCGTCTCCAGTGAAGGGCCGGGGCGCTGCACCGCCGCCGCCCCTCGCCCTTTCGCCGCAGAAGATGGTCTCGACGCCTCGACAGGCTTCAAGCAGTCGATCAAGGTCATTGACAGTTGGATCACAATCCAATGAAGGCAGTCCGATTACGTCAGAAGTATTGGCGCATCACCGCAATCGTCGCAGCCAAGTATTCGACATGTCTCCATCCTCATCGGACAACGAGGGCGACAAACACAACGCCCTTCTCCGCGTGCAACGTCGTCGTCAAAGCTCCCGACGTCTCTCTCAGATTGCGTTCGATGGAGGACCGATGTTCCGGCCCTTGGACGTCTTGATTTGTGAAGACCACCCCGTCTCTCGAATGGTCATGGAAAAGCTTCTGGAGAAATTACGCTGCCGGACCATTTCTGTGGCGAACGGTTCTGAGGCCGTGAGATACGCCATGAGCGAAATCAAGTTTGACATCATCTTTCTGGAGTACAGGTTGCCTCAGATCAACGGTGCGGATGTGGCTCGTATGATTCGGGAGACTAAGAACACCAATTCTCACACGCCCATCGTTGCCATTACAGCATACCTCAAAGAACTTCAAGCTCCTCACTACTTCGACTCTTTGATTGAGAAGCCTATCTCGAGCTCTAAGCTGACGGAAGTTCTTAAGAATCTTTGCCAGTGGAAGCCAGAATCACCTGGGATGAACTATTCCATGTCTTTGTCTCTTCCTCATCCGATACCATCCGGCCTGCGACAAACAAGCTCACGAACTGACGATAGCCCAACTTCAAGCTCCTCGATGTTCGCAGGCCGCCCCGGCAGCAGCGTAATAACGTCTAGCCGCGAAGACTCCATCAGTTCTAGCCTGTTTGGAGACTCTGAGTCGGTATCTACGGATGATGTGCCTGTAGTTGTCAGCAGGAAGGCAACTGGAGACTGGGAGGAAGGCGGGCTGGGCATTAGAGAGGATGAGATGACGCAACTGAGCAACTCTCCAAAGTCTTTGCCGCATCTCGTGACGCAACAGTCTGCGCCAGGTCAGCTGGAAAACACCCGAATGGCGATACCTCCGCATTCTGTCGAGAAGCTGAAGGCCAGAAAGGAGCACATGGAGAAGAGACACGCAGAGGGCACCGACTCGGCCGATGACGAGGACGAGGAGCTTGGTCTGGGTCGCGAAAAACACTTTCGAGGAAAGCCGCTGCTACCTAGCTCCAAGCTGGGTATCGAGATGATGCGGGCCGACAGCCACGACAGCGTTACGATTGGCTCTGAAAGCACACCCGAGCCAATCACCCAGGTCGTGACACCCTCGAAAGAAGTGGACATGCCTTCCTTCGAAGCTTTACAAGACAACGCTACCCGCACACCACCTGACAGTGGAGTTAGCTCAGAGGACAAGACCCTGGCGCCCGACGTCGACGAGACACCTAGGCCGACAAACCGAGAGGACGTAGCGGACGAGGAGCCCACACCTCGACCCTTGGATAGGGCCGGGTTGTTGGGTACCAAGTGAAGAAGGCAACCGCCGGAGAAGGTCGCTCACATTTATACACTGTTGAAGCTTCAAGACAAACGGGCAACGCAGTAACCAACAAATACGAAACATTTTTTTTCTTCCCCTTTTCATTTTCCGCAATCGTTTTCCGACAGCGAGGCGTTACGTGGGGACAACAGCGACACGCAGACTGCATCTTTTCCTTGAGTTGAAACTGGCCGGGATGGCTTTGGCGTTCATCGGTTTTAATGGGGAGGCAATTCTCAAGTCCTCGGAGAAGAAGGGAACGAGAAGGAGGAATCAAACGGCGGAGGAGGGGTTTTCTTTTTTTGGTATTACCGTTTGCAATGCAGCACGTGTGTGAGGAAGTTGCATTGCCTCGCAGGCCTGCCGTCATTGGTCTGCACCGATTTTCTTTGGCGAACACTACGCACCACCACCACTCTGGACTGTTTTCTTATTTTCCTTTTTTTTTATTCGTTCTCTGTCTATACAATCTAGGCTTTCTCCTATCAACTGCATCGGTTTACGAAAGGGCCTGGGCGGGAAGGAATTTCCAGGCGGCACTGGCAAGTTGCGTTCCTTGACGATGGACGCTCGACCAGGCTCTGAACGGAATGACGGCTCGGCTCCAAAGTATTTCAATTTGACGCCAATGTGCCGAAGAGAGGAGAAGGCTTCTTCGTTTACCCGTTTCATTTTTCACATCTCCTGTCTTCCGTTTGCGTCACTGTTCTTGGTCGATTCGGCCATAAAAGTAGGGGGAGTCAAGGCTGAAATCAAAACAAAAGCCCTCTCAAAAAAGAAGACTGAATACAGATATTATCAGACTGCATGCATTTGTTTTTGCGCTCCGTGGAGTGATTATACTCTATCTCACTGGCCGATACAGGCTCTGCTTTGCGACCGGTGACTTCTGGGTAAGGAATAGCAGACGTACGATATTGGTGACGAAACACAGTCTTGGCATTTCTCCTAGGTCAAGTCTGTGAGCACTGTGAGAAGTAGACTAGCAGCTCTACCACGACGATGACGGCAATTATGATTGAACGGGTGGCCGAGCGTGTCACGGATGACACTCAGACGTTTTCCATTGAGGGTTGGATACGGACAAGGTTGGGAAGACCTTGGAGTTGAATGTCTTGGCGATGAGGTGAAGAAGCAGCAGCGTGGCAAGAGGGGAAGGAATTGCTTAACCCCCGCCTCTCCCACGATTCAAGATACGTATGATTTCAAGGCTGTACCGCAGTACGTTTAGTCGTCCGAAGTAAAACAGAGTTGGCTGCGCGCAAAGAGGCACACAGCACGGACGAGTGTGGTCCGGTCCGTCTCCTCCGCTTCGGCGTGCGCCAGCGCCTCCGCGGGAAGGGTGAGTGAGGGGAAAGGATACGGATACTAGCGGTAACCATGCTCTCTTCCGAGTTTCAGCTGTCTGTATTCGGATGGTTCACAGAGCTTCTTCTTGGTCTGGGCAAGAGAAGGACGCAGCGAAGAGAACAGTTCCATTCCCCGAGGAGGACAGTCTTGGAGAGAAAGAGGGAGAGGAGTCAGATATCACAAGTACTTGAGAGCTTTAGCGGGATGCGGCCGGCACCACCCTCGTGACATGTCTGGGCGACTAAGATCAACGACCCGGGTTGAAGGTGCAAATGGGAGGGGGGCGGTTAAGGTGTTCGGGCCAGAGGGATGTCGACTTATTGGGTAGGAGGAGGAGGAGGAAGGGCAGGCTGCACGACAACACAACAGACGAGACGAGGGGTGTGGCGACACGCAGAGGGCAGAATGCAGCGGCCAAAATAGAAGCCTATACAGATGCAGTTTGCGGAGAGCAAGGAGGGAGGCGGGGATTGAGTTATATGATGCTGCTGCTGGCGGCCCTCTATTCACAATGGTGGTGTTGTTGTTGAGGGTGTGTAAAGTTCGGTTCATGCAGCCATTGGTTCAGGAGTGACTTTCATCCCATAAGCAGCAGCACTTGGTCTGTGTTTTCTACTGCGCATGTCTACCTCATGTGCCTTTCTAAGTACGTATACCAACGGAGTTATTTTTTTTTTTTTTAGAATTGTTTATTTTGCTGCTCTGCGTGTTTTGAGCTCGAGTCATTTCAGAGTTGCTGGCAGTGAGTGAGGCTCTCGTTTATTGTTATTGCATGGCACACAGAGAACAATAGCCAGCAGAGGACGTCCGTGTTTCGGTCCATCGGTCGGTCGGTTATTCGTACGGGCAATGGGCATGCGTTCAAAAAAGCTTTGCCAATGTGCGTGGCTTGGGAAAATCAGTCAGGCTTGGCAGCTTGGCGGGCGAGAATGAGGAAAAGGAGCACGCGAGCAGTTGCTGGCAGCGGTTAGCAGCAGAAATCGCAACTCTTGGCGATGGGCTTGGTATGCGGGACGGCCATGGGTTACGTCGGATTTTTCCCTCACGGCGCAGGAATTCCCGTACGATGGCGGCGCAAGTTTCTGCGACGAGGAAAATTGATGCAACGCGGGCTCAGTGGTCGATAGGCCATGCCGGAAGTGCGGGTTTGCTGGGAGTCAATAGATCTGGCACGTTTTTGTTTTACGGGATGTGATTGGCTGATCTGTGACAGCTCTGTTTCGTTGTCCCGTTCGGTGGTTCGGCGGCTTTTGGCTGAGATCAGTGATGAGGACGTAATTCCTTTAAGCTCGCCCTGGCGAGTGAGGGGCGCGGCACGGTGGCAGCAAGGTGGATCTTTGCGCAGCTACGGATACCTAGGTCCTAGGTAGGTGAGCTAGGGTTGGGTAGCAGCGGGGCCATGCCTGCATTTTCTATGGGGAAGAGAAGGCACTTGGAGGTGAAGAACGACGGCCGGAGGCGACGAGGCGACGGGCTGATTGGTTCGATGGCCGGAGCTGGCCTTTTTTTTTTTTTTCTTCTCTTCCTTCTCTGTGCGTCGCGTGCAGGGCGACTTTTCTGGGGTGGGAAGGGAAAGAGGGAGGAGGAGGAGGAGGAGGAGGAGGGGGCAAAGCGGCCAGACCCATTGGAAGGCCAATGCCAATGCGAATGCCAATGTCAATGCCAGTGACACTTTGTTTGGCGAGCTACCATTGCTGCAGGACACCTTCCATTTGTTTTTGGATGTTCTGCTGCAAGGCGGTCTCTATCTGCAGCCGCAATTGGCGGGGCGAGTCAGGAGGACAGTTCCGGCGAGCACCGTGTCGACCTGTCGACCTCGGCCGGCGGAGAGAGCGGCGTGGATGGGATTCCATTGTTTGGGTGAAATTGGAGACAGGAGGAGGCTCTATGGCATCTGGGGTGGCCTGGGTATATTCTGGGAGGTTTATAAAAGGGAGGAATGTTGACGGGGACTGCCTTGCCTTGTTGGTTGCTTGGTTGCGGGCGAGGTGAAGTGAGCTTCGGTCTAGGAAATGGCAATCGATGTCATTGCGGTTACTAAGGCGGGTGAGAGATGCAGGCTGCCTCATACTTTGCTTCTATTGCTTACAGACCGTCAATGCTGTGCCTGGACTGGTATCTGTACGTCGACACCTACCTGCCTAAGGTTGATGTGGTCTGTCGTTCCTGCCCGTGCAAGTGCAAGTCAAAAGTCAAGTCAGGTCAAGTCAAGCAAGGCCAACCAGGTGACGTAAAGCTAGTGCGCCCCGCCGTTTTCGGGTTAACCGCAGCTAGTCCCTGTATCATTATTTTTTAATTCTTTTTTTTTTCCCCCGTCCCTCTTCCACTTCTCTGCATCGATGTTTTTCTCCGTAGCCGTCAAAGCATAACATCGGCCGCAGCGAGAGTGCCGATGGGGTCGGTCCGTCTATAGTGTCAGTCGACGGTCCATGGAAGGCGCGCCGAGTCAACCTTTGGAGCTATGGCGTTCACTGGCTGCCGGGCGCCATCAACGGTGTCGTGTCGCCTCCTACCTCATCCGGTCCAGCTGCCCTGGATTGGATCTCTTCTAGTCCACTTGATCACACTACCATGTGGAGTCGCGCGTCCGACGTGAGTCCATCCGCGACGCGAAGCCAAGCATGCACCAAGCCAAAACCAAAGGGTCCCTTCGTGATCCTCGTTACCTCTGGCCCTTTTGCCATTGAGTGCCATCCCATGCCATGTCATGGATCCCGGCCCAACCCCAGTGGGGTGTAAGTGGGCGGAGTGCCACACCCTCCTCATTCTCACTCTACCGCCGCTCATCCACATCCACATCCATCCACATGGACCGCCATCGTTCCAATGTCCCCCGTCCATTCGGGTGGTTTTTTCTGGTCTCTGTCCAGCCCAAAGCCTTAACACACATCTCACTTACTGTTATCGCCTGTATCTCTCGGAAATCACCTTGCTTTTGTCAATCTCTGACGACTAGCCGCCTGACTCCTCGGTCACCCAACCTGGTAATAGATTCGACACTGCGAGTCGGCCGATCCAACACCAGACATCCAGAACAGGGGACCAGTCGGCACATCACAGAACCGTTGGCCCGCTGTCTGCCAAGCACGGGATCCAATTCTCAACGCACACTGGCTAGAGCCGGCGTTCGCCAGTTTCCACCAGGCCAAGACCATATTGCTGGACTCGTGAGGCGAGACAAGAGACATGCCCATCTGAACAGACACACACACACACACACACACACACACACACGCAGAACCCACCCCCATCCCGGGATCTACTTTGCTTATATCTGCTCCCGTCCCTCTTGGCCCCCCTCGATCGCGTCTCTCTTTTCCTCCTCTCGCCGTGGCCAACTACCTCCTCTCCTCCTCCCACCCCCTTCCTGCCGAGCCTGCTTTCTTTAGCAAAGCAAGGAAGCATTGACCAGTGAACCTTGTTGTCGAGGTTCCATCCCATCGTCTCAAGGCTTTGCTTTTGTCTCCCCGCAACTCCCGGCAACACATCTATCTGCATACCTATATCCTACCGCCCGCCCTGTCCGCGAGACATCAGCGCGCCGTTGTTGTCGAAGCCACCCGGGTCGTCTTCAGTCAATTCTCTCCTACGACCCAAGGTAGCGATCGTCTTTCACAATGACGACCCATCACCAACGCCATTCCGCTCCCATCGGCGTCATTCCCGTGCCCCACGGCCCCGAGACGGGCCAGGAGCATGAGGATTACCCCCGGGAGCACACCACCGAGTACGAGCGCCAGATCTTCGGCCACGTTACGCGCCCCGACGATTCATACACTCCCGAGGGTACCTACTGGGCCGACCTACCCTTCTGGCAGCGTGTCAGCTTCGTCAGCAAGGTCGACCGCGATGAGGCCGCTAAGGAGCTTAAAGCCACCGGCGAGATGATGAAGAAGGATCCTCTTTCGCCTCTTGGCTGGTATTTCCGCAATGCTGTTCTCCCTGGTGCCGGTCTCGGTCTCGAGGGTTATGTCCTCTTCTCAATTGGTAACCTGGAGCCTCTTTTCGCTGCCGCCTGGCCTGAATGCTGGGGCAAGTCGCATTCCGCCTGCAGTCAGAATTGGGTCGCCTCTGTCACTTACCTCGAGATTGTTGGAATCATGATTGGCCAGGCCGCCGTCGGTGTAAGTAATTTGTGCTCTTCCTGCCCCCAGACAAAGTCTAACAACACATCAGGTCATCGGAGACTGGATTGGCCGTCGTTGGGGTCTTATTCAGGACGCCGCCATCATGTTCGTCGGTCTGCTGCTTTTGACTGGAAGCTGGGCTAGCTCTCTCCAAGGCTGGGTCATTTTCTACGCCTGGTCCCTCTTTTTCTACGGTTTCGGTGTTGGCGGCGAATACCCCATCACCGCTACCTCCTCCATGGAGAACTCAGTTACCGCCGGCCGCCTTTCTACTCGCGAGGATCGTCTTCACCGTGGCCGCAAGGTCACTATGGCTTTCCTGATGCAGGGCTGGGGACAATTTGTTAACCAGGTTGTCCTTATCGTTTTGCTCGTTATTTTCAACCGCGGTTACGGCGATGGGCCATACTCGCAGACTGCCGCTCAGTACACTTTCCGCCTGTCCTTCGCATTCCCCGCCATTGGCACTCTCTGGCTTGTCTACTACAGAATCTGGAAGATGCCTCGTGCGAATCAGCAGCTCGCACTTGCCAAGAAGAAGCAGGGTGTTACTGGCTACGACATCAACGCACTCAAGTACTGTTTCCGTCACTTTGGTGGCCGTCTGCTCGCCACCGCCGGTACTTGGTTCTGCAACGATGTGTTCTTCTACGGCAACAAGCTCTTCCAGAGCCAGTTTATCTCTGTCATCTCCAGCAACCCCGATTCCCTGTTGACCAAGTGGACTTGGAGTTTGATCAACGTCGTCGTCTCCCTCGCCGGATACTACCTCGCCTCCCTTTTCATCGACAACAAGCTTTACGGCCGCAAGATGATGCAGCAGGTTGGATTCCTGATGTGCTTCGTCATGTTCGTCATCCCTGCCTTCAAATACGAGTACTACACCAGCCCCGCCGGCATCAAGGCCTTCCAGGCCATGTACTTCATCAGCTCGTTCTTCAACCAGTTCGGCCCCAACTCCGTTACGTTCCTGGTGGCTGGTGAGGTGTTCCCCACCCCCATCCGTGCCAGTGCTCACGGTTTCTCTGCCTGTATCGGAAAGGCCGGCGCCCTCCTCGCATCCGTTCTGTACAACTACATTGATACTCAGACCAAGTTCTACGTCGTTCCCTGGTTCGGTCTGGCTGGTATGCTTCTCACCTGGCTCTTCCTTCCCGACACCACTGGCCTCGATCTCAAGGAGCAGGAGCGCCGTTGGACCTACATCCGCAGCGGCAGGGAGTCTGAGTACCACGGCGTTGCCGTCCACCCCGAGCATCTCAGTCTGTGGGAGCGCATTCGCGGTGTTGGCAAGTACTACGACGCTGAGAAGGACCACAAGGCTCAGATCGAGGACATGCGCAAGGAGTGGGAGGACAGACAGGCGGAGCAAGGCGAGAAGGAGCCTGAGGTCTGGGAGGACCACGACCTGTTCTCCGAAGAGATCCACGGATACTTCAAGGGCCAGCACAAGGGCAAGGAATCCACTGGAGGCATCATGGCCAACGACGTCGAGGCCTCAGAGTCATCGTCCGCGAGAGAAAAGGAGACGGGTGATGAGATCCAGTCAACCCCGACTGTGGAAGAGACGCGCGATTCACACCTGAACGAGAAGCAAGGTTAATGGGAAGAAGGAGCAGTGCATAATTAGGAGTATAAAAATGGGCTTGGAGTTTTATAGGCGGCTTCTTGGCATCAAAACGGGTTTTGGGTAGATGCATACATACCTAGCATGGCGTATAAGACGCCTGAATATCTATGACTTATTATGATCACACAAACAACTGCTTCCCTCAGACCTCGGTTTGTCGAATGCTGTGAGAATTCCTGTGGCACCGGCACAACGAAAAGTACCGTGGGGTTTTCTCACCTTCACATTCCCAGACTACATAGACGACTTGACAACACATTGCCATTACATACGACCATACCCACTGGAGAACTCGGGATCCCGTCCGCTCTCCCATAGATAAGCCAGTGAGGGCTGGAGTAGTAGTCAGGTCGGTGACGACTGGCGAATGCCCGGTGTTGTATGTTTTTTTTTGGATGATATCAGCTTTTTCGCGGTCGTGGTTGAAGCTTGGCGGGCGACGATGTCAACGTTGGAGTTCATGCAATGTAGCCTTACCAGATGAGATAGCTAAACTTTTTGATTAGCGGTGGATTGATTGTACTATTTCCAGGGAATGTGTATGTTGTTTAACGTCTGTGACGCCTATTGAGTTCAGTAAGCCAGAGTCCATCTATTCTACCACGCAATATGGTCAAGAGACGAAACAGCATTTGCCTACCTAGGTAAGTAAATTGAACTAAGATGAAGAGATTCTATGTTCCTCACAATACAGTGATTGTCTTGTGCTATCATCGTAGTTGCGAGATATATTGATGTGATACCCTGAGCATATTGACATGTTCGTTACTTTTAAGAAGATATTGGAAAATTTGCTCACGGACGAAACAAGCTATCTTCAGTCTTTTTTCTCGGGACTTTGTTCTTTCTCCTCCGCCGTTGTACGGAGAGAAACGACATTCGCTCTCTCCAGCCGTTCACACTGTGATCGCCACGACCTGGCACCCAGGGGTCTTTCTGGTCCACTGTGGTCACCCAGCTAAGCTTTTGCTCCTGCGCTGCCATGTAGCTGTTTGCGTGTCGTTCTGTCGACTTGAATGTACGGGAAAACCATGCTCTGACTAGATCCCACTTGTAGCCGTACATGAACGCCAGCCCTATGACCCCAAATGTGACAGGCAGGGCCGTGGACCAAAAGATCCTTTGGTCATACTTCGTGTCCCTGACATCGGTCGTGTTCATGCCGAAGAAGCTTGTCACGAACGACCTGGAGGGCATAGTCAGCTTCTAGGGTTACAGGTTGAAAGACGCGTGCATGGCTTACAATGGCAGGAAAAACAACGTCACGATGGTGAAAACCCGAATCGCCCTCCCGTGACCCTCGTCAAGTATCTCGATCCTTTGCTTCGTATCGTCTCTCAGGGCCCGGGTTCTCTTTCGCAGGATCCAGAGGGCTCTTTCGCGCTCAGCTAGCCGCCTTTGCTGCCTACGGACACCTTTGCTCTCGAGTCTGAACATTGACTTTCTCTCTCGGTAGTAAAACCAATCGGTGGTCGGGCATTTGAAAGTCAGGGGGGAGAAGAGCTTGTGGTGGGCCCTCCAGAGCTCTTGCTGCGAATCAACCACCATCTGAAGAGCTTCCAGCTCCTCCTCGAGGGCGTGGATCTGCACGAATGCATTTCTCTTGGGTCTTCTGTTGGTTTCGAACCGAAGTCTGGCCGCGCGGTTCCTGTAATGGTTGATGAGGTCGAATCGCTTGTCGGTCCCACGGATAAGTATGTTGTTCTGCAGGTTGCTGATCAGCGACATCGCGAGGAATTCAGGCCCAATGGGTGCTATGACGATCCTCTCCACGTCGCGCTTGCTGGTGCCCAACAACATGATGTCCTCTTTGGCGCGGCTTAGAAGACCCCGGGCCTGTTCCGAGATAGCGTCGCCGGTTCTCCTGAGTTGATCTAAACGTCGTTGGGCATGTCGGCCGTATGTTGGGTCGGACTTGAGGGCAAATCTGTTCAGCCAGGACAACTCTTTGGCCTTCAGCACAAATAGGCTGACGATGCGTTCAAAGGCCTCGACCAGACTGCTGGGGAGATGGGGTCTGTTGCCGTTTTGATTGACCAAGTCGTCCGAGCCAGCCACGCTCGTGACCATCTTGTGCAGTTCATCTGCCCTCTCGACCAAGTCCTGCATGTCGGATTGAAAGACCAGACTGCTTGCAAACGCTGAGCTCCTGAGCCCTGTATTGCTCGGGCGGTCGTTGGTATCGAGGACTATTTGGTAGATCCGGACGAAACAAGGGTCGTCGAAGGGCCTGCCTTGTTTGGCTCGTTGGGGGCATGCGCTGTTGGCATGGTGTTCGTGCCAGTGGTCGAGGGCGTCATCTGGCGACTGGTACCCTTTTTCAATGTCGCATTGCTGGCATCGAGAAAGTGCCGTCGTGTCTTTCTCGTAGGATGAATCCTCGAGCGGGACAGGGGCAGAGCTCGGTTTCAACACAAACCAAGGCTGGTCTTCTTGTTCATAAGACATATCAATCGCCCAACGGAGCCCCTATGTAACGTTAGCAAAGAAATTGATGTGTGAAAGAATGCGTCTTGCCCTCAAGATCGAGTCGACCGAGCCCCAGAAGCGTCTATACAACGGATGTGAAACGATTCCTCCGTCGTGAGGCAGGAATGCGGACAGTATATTTCGAGAGACGCGAATTAGTTCCGAAAGATTAGAATCGTTGATTTCTAGGCTTCGCTTTCTGGTCCGCAAAGGGTCTCCATGGAGGCGAAAGCTATCGGTTGACACCTCAGATTGTGGCTGGCCGGAGCTGCTGCCGTCGTCAAGCGACGCCGACCTCGAATGTCCAAGATCATTGAGGCTCTCTCTTTTCGAAGAATCATGCCGTAGAATGCTGTCGAATCGCTCCATGACCTCGATCTCGCTGCACTGGAATGACGCCTTATACCACTTCCCAAACTTGTCCCTCTCAAGGGAAATGTTCAGATTGTCTAGCAACTGCGAGAGTGTTTTCTCAATCTCCGATCGGGATCTCTTGTCGTCGCTCCACGTCAATCTCCAAGCGAAGAACGGAACGAAGCCCACCTCGGCAAAGTCCAGAGGCGGCAGCCGTGTAAAAGATTGATCGGCCGAGTATGTGCCGCCAACGGATCCTGTTCTGGGTTTTCTTCCAGATTGCGCGTAGTTTGAGCTTGTTTCGAAAGATTTGCGTCGGTCATACCAACTAGAACAGTATTCTGGATCTAGAGGAGAGTCCCGGGCGTACCTGAAGGATGAGCCCCGGGACGAGTTTCGCTGTCGTCCGCGCCTTCGTTCATTAACGTAAGGGTGCGTTGCTGGATATGATGCTTCGGTTCCAAACGACATGGACCGGGTCATTCTTCGAAATGGCATCGTAAACCTAGTCTCCTCCACGTAGTTGGAGACCATATCTTCCCGCTGAGAAATGGAGCTTCTCCTCTTCGTGCCAGGCGATCAGTCAGCGACTTTGTCAAAAATTCGCTGCCTCAGACAGTTCCAACTTACCGTTTCGTGTTGCTTAAAATCGACACCCACTTGCTTGTCAAGTCTAAAGAGTTCAGGCACTTCAGCATACCCAGCATTTTCCCGAAACCCGGGGGTGCTGGCTTGTCTGCTGCCGGAGCTAAGTTCTGAGAATGACATCGTCAGGTCAATTGTATCATCAAGTGACGAATCTTCGTCGCCCAAGTGAGATTCAAAGAACAATGTGTCGTCGTCGTCGTCGTCGTTGTGGTGGTTGTGTTTGTCAGTTTCGGTACTGCCACCTGAAAAGCTCGGCGAGTCGGCACGATACCTACGCATCCCGGGATGCAAAACCATTGCCATGTTCAAGTCAGATCCTCTGAATTCTGATTGGAAGGAGCTGTCCAAGTTTCATCAATTTTGAGATTTCAAACCCATTTCAAAGTGGCCCTCACCTCCGGCGCGAGTATCTGCCAAGACTACTCCGGCTGCTTGTGGCGAGAAGCTTCGCCGACAGAGCGTGATACTCTTCAGTTGGTGAGCCCTTTTCCGTGTTTCTCTCTCGCAGGCCAAACACATGTTCTTCGATGATACCCTCGGAAAGCAAGTTGAGCCACATATCTGTGGTAACCAAAAGACCAAATTCGTTGACTAGCACATAGGCCGTCACATTCGATCGCTTATGGCCCTTAGAAGCCAGTGCCACGGCATGTTTCATAAAATCCTGGGACAATCAGTAACACCACCAAGATTGGAATGATGAGGAAATCTGCAACTAACCACGTACTTCCAGCTTGGAGTTATGACCACGTGGTAACGGCACATATCTTTCTCATCGATGAGCCTGATTGTGAATGTTCTTTCTGATGATAATGTCGTATCAATCGAGATAAGATTTTGCTGCATTTCTGACGAGGCCAATCCAGAGTAAGTGATGATCAAGTCTGAAAGATTGAAGAATGGTTAGGATAATTCGTGGACTGTCTTCAACCAGCGGGTGGTGTCATACCAGAACCCAGCACTAAAGTCCAAACCTGCGACGCTTGTACCGAGAAAGACTTGGATCCGCCCACGTCGACATTTTGGGCACCTTGGCTGGTATCATGCGTTGTCTCATCGTCATAACCATATAGCACTTCACGGAGGGTTCTCTTGTAGTGATTCCCTCGCTGCTTTCTGCCAGCAGGTTTGTCCTCCAGGATAAGGTACTGTGTAGAGATGAAGGTGACGGGCTCAGTATCGGACATGTCCTCGTCTGGATATCTCCCGAGACTGCTGTTGAATCTACCGATGTATTGAATCATTGAGCCAGACTCAATGTAAGTCCCCGCCTCAGAAGGTCTTTCGCATCTCGCCATGACTTCTTTGAGGACTGTCAGTGCAACCAATCTCAGGGATGGCATCAAGAACGGACAATCTGCTACTAGCGTCTGTCTTTGTTAGTCAGAGTTCATGGTAGCCTTGGCCGTCAGAGTGATTGATCATGGATACCTCCAAAGTGGCAATATTCAACGATTGGGCCTGGACGTGACTGACGGTTGTCAGCTTCGAGGTCATTTCCGTAGACATAGTCTAGTACTCACAGCCATCTCATGCGAATCAGAGACGGGTCACCCATTCCGTACCCGTCATCTCTCGGACAGACAAGTGTCACCCTTTGATTTCCAGAGCTATCCATGTAGAACTCTGCAGCATGCGCTGCATATAGTTGCGTGACCGCACCACTCATAATGAGATCTGACCTCTCCAGCTTCCAAGCCGCCAGTCTCCCAGAGGTGGGATCTGCGGCATTATCCGTAAAGTACTTGGTATTGTCCAGTGGAAGGATTCCAGAGTAAACTACTGGGCCGTCGATGTTGTCTAGCTCGTCTCCTTCTAAGACTGATTCCAAATCATCGTCGTGTTCTTCCTCGTTGCCGGAGTGGGCTGGTGACTCTGCGACCGGAGCGTCCACATTGATCCAATCGAAGCCTCGACTCTTATTTTGATGTTTTCGTTCCCACGCATCACCATATTCCGAAGTTCCTTGGCCAGAGTTTCGGATGCTGTCACTTAATCTGAGAAGGCCATCGATGAGATTTGGTCCTAGTGCTAGCTGCACAATGATTGTATCGCCATCTTCGGCAAAAGGATAGCCGAGCTCGAGGAGCGCGCGCTTTGAAACGATCCTAGCAGGAATCCGGGTGGTGCCTTTTTCAGGCCGTGAGCCCCGGTGGAAAGAGCTAACACTGGGCGTAGGCGAAGAAGATCGTGAGTCTGGCCAATCTTCGAACCCATCCTCTTCGAAGCGGATCTGCTTTGGCTTCGATGCCATCGTAGTCTGTGACCTCGAGGGCCAACTAAGAGCAATTGTGCTGAGATGCAATTTGAAGGGCTTTCAGAACATTGGTGATCATATCCCTCGGCTCAATTGAGAGATTTTCTCACAGATCGATTGGCGGTAACCCGTCATCTCTTCCGAGCCTTGTGCTTACATGTCTGTCATTCGGAGCTAAACCTAGCTGGAGGTCAGCCCTACAAGGGTTCGGTGCATCATGACGCAGCTTACGCTGCATATATGTAGCCCCAAGTCTAATGGACTCGGCTCAACCCGATTAGAACATACGATGAACCAGGCATACCTCGATTGTATCTGCATGAATGCCTCTGGTTTCTGAGGTGGGAACCTGGCTGGACACAATCTATGAGATTATCGTCATCCTCCATTAAACCAGTGGCTTTACAATGCGAGACGACTCATACAGTCAATTTTGAAGAAAGTAAAACGGTGCTCAGAGAGTACGCGTCTTCTCTTTGTGGGTTTCATTTTTTGATACCGCCTAATACTGACGAAATAAACAGGGAGAATTGCGGTGATCTGTGTTTGTCAAGTTGTGATTTATCAAGTCCCACGGTGAAGCCGGGCGAGCCACAAATGTTGTAAAAATCGCCCCGCCTCCCAGGCCGTCAATTTAAAGGTCTGTTAGACAGGCCCGCTGAGTTGAAACGAGAACCATTATGGATTTGCGACCTTGACATATACATTCTGCCTGAGAATTTAGCCGACCTCAAATCTGGCTTTTCTGACTTTCCGGCAAACGCAAAACCTCCAAAGACATATTCTTTGAGTCCCTCCGAGGATTCTGGTCTCCGTTGAACATCAAGACGTCAAGCTGCTTCAGTTTTCCATGTTCCCACGCCGTATTGGGATGAGGCCGAGTGGTGTCTCTTTTAGAGCAACTTCCCAACGCACGACTTCTTTCGTGAGATCACGAATAGCACCTGCCCTTAGACCCAAGCCATTGGTGGCTTGGCCATCCGCTAAAGCGATTTCAACGCGCCAGGTCTGCCCAGAGGAGCCCCGTGTTTTGCCTTCCACGGGCTTTATACTGGCTGACTACAATGACTTCCCCGAAGGAGATGGGCTTCCGATCTTTGCGGATGGACAATTCTACCTAGTGCGCCTTGGCGAGGTTTTTCAGGAGCGCTATCAAGTCATCACGAAACTGGGATTTGGCGAGGCAGCAACAGTTTGGTTGGCTCGAGATCTCAGGTACCACGTCTTATCGAATTACACATACTGCACAGATTTCTAATTCTGTGATACAGCGATCGCAAATACGTCGCTCTGAAAGCATTCCCTAGATTTTGGTCTTCAGAGCTGACGATCAAGCGTTATAAGCAGATGGCGCCCCTCATTACTAAAGCTGATCATCCTGGGGGACAAAGGATACACTCTGTTGCGTTAATAGCGTCTACCCCCCCTTTTTACTGAAATTATATATATATAATCCCTATATATATATAAAAATTTGCTTAACACTATATAGATATTTATAGTATAGTAATTAACCTATTTTAATAGTTTTAATTAATCTATTTCTATTAAATTTTATTATTTAAAAGTATTATAATACTTCTTAAATACTACTATATAGCTTAATAACTAAATAATAACCTTTTTAAGTATTATTTATTACTTATTACTAATAATATATAGAAATAATAATATATATAATAATTAGTATAAGATATTACTAGAAATTCTTTTTAATACTCTACTTTATTATTAATTAAGATTATTATACTTATTAAAAAAGTTTATTAAGCTATTATTACTAAAGAAGCTATTAAAGAAATTATTAAAGAAATTATTATTATTAAAATTAAATTTAAAACTAATAATTTAGTAATAACTAAGTTTATATTATAAAGAAAATATATATTTATAACCTCTTTATTATTATAAAAAGCTCTAAAAATATCCTCTTACTAAAAAGTAATAATAATATAGAAGAAATAAAAAAAAAATCTACTATATATAATTTAACTTTAAAATATTTTACTTTTATTAATATTACTATTTTAATTAGATTTAACTTTAATTAATTTAACTTCTTATTAAACTACTTAATTTATAGATAATATACTTATAGTTTCTTATTATAGTACTAATAATATATTTATATTATTTTATAATATATTTAAAGAAGAGGATAATATAAATAATAAAAAACTAACTTTATTATAAATTTAAGTTATTTATAGTTTAATACTTAAAAGTAATAGTTTATTTATTCTTAATCTAACTATTAAAAGTATTATATATAATAGATTTAGTATTACTTTTATATTAGATATAAATAATAAAAACTAAGAAGTAAATAGTAATACTTAATTTAAAATAGAAGTAGTTTATTTATATATTATAAAAAAAGCTAATATTATTATTATTATTACTTAGAAAAAGCTTATTAATATATTTAAACTAATATTAATTTTTATTTAAGTTTATCTATTTACTAGAGGGGTTATTTAGCTAAGTATTTTATAAATTAATATTATTCTTTCTCTTAAATAAATTAAAAAAAGAAATAAAGTTTATTTTATTATTAAGTAATAATATAGTATTATATTAATCTTTAGTAATATAGTAATTAATATATAAATATTTTAAAATAATAATTAAATAAGTATTTTAGTTAATATATAAGAAGTAATTAATTATAAAACTAATAATTCTATAAATATTAAGTATTAAAAAAAAAGTATATATAGATAACTTCTCTATATATATATCTATTTAGAGTATTAAAAATATAAGAATAGTTTAAATAATAAGAAGTTTAATTAATACTATATATTAAACTAAAAATATTATAAAATTAAATCTTATTATATAGAGAAATAAATAAAAGCTATTATAACTAAATAAATTAATATTAATAATATAGAACTACTTAAAGAACTATTTAGTGAGATTTTTTATAATTAGTTTATAGAGGATTAAAAATATTAAAATAAGAGAAATAAGAATATTATTAAGGTTAATAATAACTAAGAGATAATAGTAATAATAAAAGAGAAAATTAAAAATATTATATTTCTATTATTAAAATTAAGATCTAGCTTAATTAATACTAATAATAATATTATTATTAATATATATAGTAATATAGAAATATTAAATTATTATCTTTAATATCTTAATTTATATATATAGCTACTACTATTAGTATTATTATTATTAATATATTAGCTATATATAAATATCTTATAATATTTATTACTAACTTTTTTATTATTAAATTTTCTAAATATTTATTAATTAAGTATTATATTTTTAATTTATTTATTCTTATTAATAGTATTAAATTTACTTTAAAAAGCTTTAAATTAAGTAGCTAGCTTTATTAAGTAGTTTATATCTATTTATAGTAAGTAATATAATATTAATAAAAGGTTTAAAAAGAAGTTATAGAAATTATAATTAATAAATAGTAGCTTATAAATAATTTATAAATTATTAGATATTTAGTTTACTAAATAGGGTTTTATTTAAGATCTTATTAAAAATATTAAGAACTTAATTAAATCTTTTATAAATAATAGCGTTTATTATAGAGGGTAGTTTAATACTTTCTTTAATATAATATCTTATTTTAAACTTTATTTAAACTATTAAAAGTTAGAAAGAAATATTTATATAAGAATATATATTAGATTATTAAGAGGGATAATAGTAATATTAGTTAAAAACTTTATAATATTAGTTTTAAATAAGTTAAAATTATTTTAATATATTAACACTTTAGTATTATATTAATTTATTAAATAAGAGATCTATAATGTATTAATTAAAATTAGTTAATATAGTAAGTATATATAGAGCTATTTATTATTAAATATAGCTAACTTTATAAGTATTTTAGAACTTTTTAGTTTTATTTTATTATTACTACTATTAGTATTATAGATACTATTTATATAGTTATAAATTAAATAAAATAAAATTAAGTAAAATAATAAAAATAATTAGATTAAAATCTTAAGTAATATATTATTAATAGAGATATATTACTTAGAAGAGGATAATAAAGAAGAGTAATATAGTAAGAGTAGTATAAAGTTTAACTATATATATAATTTTTTTATATAATATATTTAATTATAAAAAAGTCTATTTATAGCTATAGATTTAATACTACTATTCTATATATAAAAAAATAATAGAATTATTATTATTTTAGATCTATAAATAATATATTTTAGTTTATTTTAATATTAATTAAGAGTAGTTAAAGTCTCTAACTATAGTTAAAATCTCTAATTATAATAATATATTATTATTATAAATTATTATTATAAGTATTAATAATATATTTCAGCTATTATATAAGTAAAATTAATATATATATATAGTTATTAATAAAAATAATAGATAATAATATATTTTTTATATTTTAGTATACTTATAGCTAACTTTTTAGTAATCTTATTAGCTATAATTATAAATTTAATAATTAACTATTATATAATAATATAATTAAGATCTATTATATATAAATATATAATAAAAATTTAAATTACTTATTAATATTTAATATTAATAATAAATTCTCTTTTTTATAGTTTAATACTATTAAATATATACTCTATTTTATTAAAGTTAATAAATAAATAATAAAAATAGCCTTTAATTTAAAATAAATAATACTTAATCTTTATAGTATAGTTATATAAATATTCTATAAACTCCTAAGTATTATTCTTATTATTATTCTATTTTAAATATATTTTCTTAATATATTACTTTAGATTACTAAAATACTTTTTAATAAAGTTAAAGTTTAGTAAATATAGAAATAAAAACTTAAAATTAATACTTAATACTTAATATAAACTTTTAATTTTAAATATATAATAATAAAAGAAGTTATTTATAATAATAATAGAGTTTAGTTTTAGAAAATATTTATATTTTAAAATAAAATATTTTTATAACTAATAAAAGAACTTATTACTATTAGTTATATTATAATATATAGTTAAGTA